TCCTAAACCGCTACAGGAATACCTCTAGTGTTGGCAGCATGCTAGAAACACTAGGCTGGTCACCATTGGAGAAACGACGACGACAATCCAGGCTCTCCATGATGTACAAGATAAATAATGGGCTGGTGCACTGTTCCAGTATTAAACAGAAACTCGTCCCTCTCCCCCATAGACAGCGACGAGGCCATGACAGTCAATTCAGGCTCATACCAGCAAGAAGCCAGTATAGGAACTGCTCATTCCTGCCCAAGACAATCAGGGACTGGAACAATCTTTCAAAAGGAACGGTTGAGGCGACAACACTAGACACATTTGTGTCTATTGCCACAAGCCTTCAAACCCCTAGTGCATGATTTCCTCATCAACACCAGTAACAGAAACATTGCAAATCCCATCTACATGCATAGGAGCCAAAATGATCAATAAATTGATCGTGGGCCCTTAAGATACAGAAGAAGAAGAAGAAGGTAATATGCATAACACTTACAGACGCTCCTTTATTGAAAATATTTTGTCATCTGATACATGAGTACTTAAAAGTTTTGATAGAACATAAAATTGTGAAAATTGCGCGTGGTTTATCTATCAGTTTCAAATCATGTTTGTCAAAAAAAAAATCAATTTTCAAGAGTATGCCTAAATATATTTATAATTTATGCATGTATTTAAATCACGGGAAAACTAATTTTCGTTATATTTATTTCTTTATTAGGCTTTATCAATTATGGAAGTACTCGAATATTTTAACCAACGAAAAATAGCATGACAATGTATTATGTTTAAATACAAGAACTGTCCTTTTGATTAGACCCCGAAAGCCTTTCAACCTTGCTTATTCCAATGCAGACACAACATGTGATGCTATCAGAGGGCAGTATTTAACTATTTAGGTCAGAAAAGAGATAACAGTGACTTAGTATTGCCTTTGTAGACCCCTTCTGCCATTGCTTAACATACCATTGTCCCAGAGGTAACCGCTGCCCCTGTGAGATGCACCCATGATCTGTACCGTTTTTAAACCAGCATTTTAATTTGTAAATAGTTTTCTTTCAGAAATTTTTAAATTAAAAAAAATCAAAACCAAACATCTTAAATAAATACAAAAATAAATAATTTGTTGCGAAAATAATTCAATCGTTTTTCTAAACTTCTTTTCCCTCAGACCAGTTATTTTTATACCGGCACTTATGCTTCGTTTCCAACTAAACGTGTATTATTAAACTGGCCTATTGGAAACACAAAACAGATTTGAGTGTCAAGATTTAAGATAGTTTTCATATAGTATAGGCTAATATAAAGAGCCATTTACTATTTATTAAGTTATGTTGATTTATACAAGAAGCCATTACAAGCAGTGGTGTAGCTAGGGTTGGTATCCATCTGTGGTAGGCCGAGAAATTTGCTGTTTCCAAACCATGAAAAAAACAACTGTGCTGTTGGCCGAAAATACCGCCCCTTCATCAATGTTCCCTTAAGATTTGTTGGTTCGTGTACAAAATCATACAGTTTTGTGCAAAGTTTTACAGCATCAATTTTTTGTGTGCAAAATTTTACAGCCCACAAACACACACACACCTACATGGAAATTTGCTGCGCGGATACTCAAAACTGTTGCGCGGCGTCTGTGAGATAGCTGCGCGGCCGCGCGGCTTAAAGGCAACATTGCCCTTCATGTAAGAAAAAAGTGTTGCACGTGGCAGACCCTCCCCCCACCCTCCACACCACTTCCTACGCAATTGATAACAAGTTTTTTCTGATTGACAGTGATTGACCATCCTAAGGAAAAATTCAAAGAAATATTAATCTGTTTTTTTAGCTTAAATAAAAATAGATAAATAATGAAGAGATCGTTTGTCAAATTAAATCAGTACAGGTATATTTAAAAAACTGGATGAGCGGACTCGGCGCGGGTGGGTAGTGGGTGAATCGAAATCCATAAAAAGATAAACCTAGTTTTTTGTTGTTTTTTTCGGTTGCCTCGACGCTTTGGGTGACCCTGCATTTCGCTTTCGCGTGAAACTTTTAAACTGTAACGTTTTAGTGCATTATTTTAGTGATTTAAAAATGTAAGAATTTATTTGTTTATCTTTTTCTTTGAAAAGTTAAAATTTAGCATTAAAAAAACATGTTTATTAAATTACATGGGAAAAAAAAGAAAAAATATTTTCGAATTGCAAAGTATAAGAATTAATATTGCTCTGAAATTAACCATTGATCTCGACAATTGGTCTTGACCACCAAGTGGAAGTCTTCAGTGTTACCAGTTATCGTTTGTTTACGTTGAGAATTCAAAATGGAAGAAAACAATAAACAAGTAAAAGGTATACCTAGAATGTTATCTGATTAATTTTTTAAGAAAATTTATGGAAGCTAATAAAGTATAACTGCAGAAATAAATCATTGGCTGTTTCAGATTTAGCGGCCCACGGTGACTTTGTTAAGGTTGGGCATAGGGATTGATTTAGGGTTCGGGTTAGGCTTAGGGTAGATACTTTGGTCAAAAATGTAAACATTTTTTAAAAATAAACCAATGGCACAGTTGAATAGAGCTAATTTTAAACATAATTATAACACCAAAATCATATTTTTAGCTGTTGTAGTTTTAAAGTTATGAATTTTTAAAGTACGACTTGGTTTGTCCTTTTTTAACATAGACTGCATCTCCACATTCTGTGACCTCATTCCGCTGATCGCGTCATGCGCAATGACTATATAGTTTATATAAGGCAATGCATTCCCTTATCACTAAAATACTGTTTAGGGTCGACTTATTTTAAACTTTCAACTTTGGCACATGAATAATTAATAAAAGCTTTCCCTGACCAATGGTTTAATAGCTTTTGCACACGGCAAACTCTTATGAATGAAACTCTGAGATAGTACTACGACGTAGCCGTTATGCAAGTGGCTGTGAATGGTTGCCAATGACAACGTGTTGCACAGGGAAAATTCTGATCATTTATATTATGGACTCTGCAGGGTTTTTAAAGCTCAAATTAAAACATTTCCAGTTTAAATGTCTTCAAAATGCATTCTGAAACACAAAATATAAAATATTTTGATGTATATAGTGGTAATAATTAAATATTTCCTAAGTATCGGCAACTTCCGCCATTAAAAAGGGGGCGTGGCCCACGCCATGTCGAAATTAGGCTGAGCCACCTTATGGTGATATGGGTCACTGTGACAAGTGTAACAAACGTGAGACACGACCTACATCAATGAAACTTGGCACAGATATAGATCAATATCTAATGCTCATACAGATTTAATAAAAAAGGACCTTATCTTATTATTTCACAAAAAATTTTGTATGCGAAGATGCCTTATATATACCAAAGATTTTCAAGATAAAGGTCGATTGAAAAAAGCAAAATAGCTGGCTAGAAATGTAGGCCAAGATGTCTTCCAAATTATAAGGCCGGAAACGGAACTCAAATATATGTGGAAAGAACTAATTTAATAATAAATAGACACACACATCGGAAAATTAAAAACTCTGATTTTTCGGCGCCGACGCCCATTTCCGATACAAAAAAAATAGTAGTCTCCCTTCTTTCATCGAAGTATCTACTTAGGGATAGATTTAGGGTTCAGGTTAGGCATAGGGATCGATTTAAGACGTAAAAGTGCGCACATGGAAATAAATGCGGGCCGTGTTCTCTGAATTTACCAAATCATTATTTATTTTTTGTTCCAGGGGAATCGAGCAGGCCTAAAAATGCTATGTTGAAGCAAATTGGCTGCGTACAACTCGGCGGTGTAATACTAATAGCAAAACTATAGAACAATTTACCTTCTAATTCAATTAGAACGTAACAACATTTTCCCAGTCAAGGGAGCTTTGGGATTGGACTGGTATATCTCTAAACATTTAATATTGGATAGTGGGCACTTGAATACAAAATTTAAAAAAAATTGAAATAATTTTTTTAATAACTCAGTTAGTTAGAGCAAATTTAAAATTTAAAAAAATGAAACCAGAATCAACTTTTTAGCTTAAGTACTTTTTGAACTATGAATTTTTAAAGTGTGAGTTCGTTTGGTATTTTTTACTATGGACGAAACCTCCACATCTTGTTACCTCATTCCGCTTATCGCGTCATGCGCAATGACTATATACTTTATATAAGACAACACATCGCCTTATCACTAAAATACTGTTTAGGGTCGACTTAGTTTAAACTTTCACCTTTGGCACATGAATAATTAATTAAAGCTTTCCCTGACCAATGGTATAGTAGTTTTTGCACACGGCAAACTTTTATGAATGAAACTCTGAGGTAGTACTACGATACAGCCATTATGCAAATGGCTGTGAATGGTTGCCAATGACAACTTGTTGGGCCCAAGTTGGGGGAATCCCAACACTGGATTTTGGTGACAGGACCAAAAGTTGGACCTGAATGAGAAGAATGAAAACTTTCCGGTTCTTCACTGAACGTTATTTGAGTCAAAAACATAATCTGTTAAAATGAAATTTTCCATTTAGTTTTTATTAAAAATCAACTTACAACTTCCAAAAGAAATAAAAAGAGAAAATCACACTGGAAAAAAGACGCAGGCATGGTTAAAAGGGCTGTTTCTGATGGGTTGAAAACAAAATACCAGAATGCCACTCATTTATATAATTATAATGTCACAATTTAATGAGACATTTCAACATAATTTATTTTCCATTTGTTATACTATACAGGTGTATAAAATATCTCCATGCGGTATAAACCAAATTCACAATTTTACATAGCTGCAATGTCTTTTTCTTGTTTGTTTTCTAAAATTTTACTTCCACCCACTTCATTTATGTTCTTCTGAACTTTGTTTCTGTCAGGGACTTGCACCTACTCTTATTCTTATCTTCTATTTTAGGTAGGATACATGTATATATATATATTATGCAAATTTAATTTTTACTTATATGAATTTTTTTTGCACTGATGAAGGCATTTGCCGAAACGTTAACATTTGTGTTCTGTATAATCATTATTAAAGCTGAATCTAAATTGTTTTATTTACACAAATTGTTTGTGTCTTGTTTATCTACTTGAAAGCTTTATCGCAGTACAACACTCTTATAATAAGTTAATTAAGTCTTATTAGTAAATCCTAATTTTTCAAAGAAGAGATCTAATTAGTAAAATAGTTGCAGTGTGGATGATTGTGTACTATGCTTAGGGAACTTCTCGCCCAACTCAACACTGGCCAAATTGTTTTTGGCATTGGCATTAGATGATGATCAGTATTGTCATTGAGGATGAGGCTTTAGATTGTTACATTTTTTTTTAAATGAATCAACATATTTCATTATTTATATATGCCTGGGCTTTTATTATTAAAATACTGACTTTTTTTTTACCTAAACAAAAAACCGTTTAATGAACAGTATTTGAACAAAAATTAAGCCCCAGCAAGCTTTTAAATTTGACTTTGTCATGTATGGCAACATTGATTGTTGTCTATAAGGAGTCCTCTTCTATCATTGAAGTTTTCTTCTTAAAGAAAACGTCAACATCTGGTTGAAAGCAAATCATCAAGTAATGAATAAGTCCATTTGTTATATTAATTTCTTTATTAAATTTCATTAAAAAATGAAACAAATCATAACTAAATAATTATTGGATATGCTTGCATTTTGGTTTGACCATGTGTTATTAGTCATCCCTGAAGGGCAAACAGTAAATGATTATGGATGCTTAAAATATGACCACCTGTTAAATTAAAAATCTTTAAATTACAATGCTAAAATACAAGATAACCTTAATACATTAATATTGCCTAATTGGTGATAGAAAGGGCAACAGAGCATCAACGTATTTCATTATTTATACATGCCTAGGGCTTTTATTATTCAAATACTAACTATTTGATATATAAATGTATCTACAGAAATTAGTGACTGGTCCTTTTCATGCTATACAATCTCACATAATGATATAGTCGGCCGAGTCAGAAATAGGTTAAATAATTTTCTTTTAAATTATTTCAGATGGAGTCACAAAGAAGGCTAAGGTATTTAATTTTGATACTCTGTTTGCTTCACGACCCACTGCTCAAGCTCAAGACAACAAAGAAGGTTGGATTAGTTTTTTTGGTTTCGCTTATTAAATACTGCATAATTAGTTAATAGCTAGACAGAGTGAGCTCTCAAGCTTGCACACAACTAACTCGTATCTAACTCAAGCCAGCAGAGATGTAGAAGTGAGAAGCTTTTGTAATTCAACAACTAAAAGTGACAGTAACCCTTAACTAAAAAACTGGTAGTGACTTTAAATAGTTAACCAAATCTTAATTGGCCTGGCATGCTTAAGTCTTATTAGTAAGTCCTCAAGGTTCAAAGCAGAGATCTAATTATAAAAAAAAGTTGCAGCTGCTAGAAGTAATTACAAATTTTTTGTTAAGTTTATTTCTCAAACTTGATGGAGAAATTGTCTGTGTGACAAATTTTTGTGAGAATCTCTATAGAAAGGTTTTGCAACTGATGAGCACCACTAATTAAAAAAAATCAATCAAGAAAAACAAAAAACAAACGGAGAAACAATTGGATGACAAATCTAATCACTTTTCAAGAATGTCTAATTTTGAGAGTGAATAGATTTATACACAGTACCGCTTTATATTTTTACACTTCAATTAAGTTCAATACAAACATTTTTCAAAATGAATTAAATATCAGTTATGCCAGATAAATACATAATAATTCAGATTTTAAATAATGGATAAAGGTAGTGTGAATCGGTTAAACTAACTTTTAATAAATCTATTTAGATAATATATGTCATTTATGATTTACAGAAATTAAACCATTTGAAGATAGTAATGAAAATCAAATGAAGAAAAACAGAATGATTGAACAAAGATTGCCAGGCAACATAATGGATGTTTCCTCATCAAAAAGCAAAAGTGATACTACATTAGATACTGAATCAACTGTGTTGAAAAGTAGCATTGAAACAGATGAAGACAGTAGTAATGACTACATTGGTCCACCACTACCACCCAGCTATAAGACAAAGTTTGATACAAAAGCTATAAGAACAGATGCATTGGTAGAAAATAAGCATCAGATGCAAGATAAAGCAGATGATGATGAAGATGATGATGATACATCTATTGGCCCACCTCTACCTCCAGATTTCACATCACTTTTATCACAAGCTAAACAAAATGCAGAAGAAAATGGTCCAATGCGGATGAGCCAAAGTACTAGAACCAATGAAGATGATGAGGATGATGAAGCTGAAGAAGAAGAGGTACATTTTCAATAACTTAATGTTTATTGTCTAAATACACAATATTATATAAATTAAGCTCCTTAAGGGTAAACAAAAGTTAACCCCACAATTTTGTTTGTTTTTTTTGTTGTTTTTTGTTGAGGCACACTTTCAAGTTGTTTAATATTGATTAAAATATTGGTAGAGAGATGTAAAGTCTTTGTATTATGATAAAACAAAATTTATGTTCCATCTCAGTTACAAAAAACCCCCACCTCTTTGCATCTTTAGTGTCAACACTTGTTAGTTATCATTTATTCTTAGTAGTTAATTCACCAAATTTATTATATAATGTGACATTAATTAAGAGGTAAAATTTAAATCCTTTTTATTTATTAAAAAAAAAGTGTGAATAAAAAAATAATTCTCGTCTCAAACTGGATGTGAAGAAAAATCCAATAAAAAAAAAAAAATCAAAATTCAAGTAAATTTCAAGATCCATCCATTGATTTTAAACCAGCGTTACACAACCTTTTTTTTTTGCTCAAGGCCCATGTGAACATTTTATTATCTCTTATGTCCCTTTCCTGTTATTAATATAAAAATTGTTGTTTGTATATATAGATAGTCCTTTAAAAAAAGTTTTTGTGGCCCTATAGATTGTCCTTTTAAAAAAATGTTACTGTGGCCCTTCAGAATAATGCTGTGACCCTTGGGGGGCGGGGGCACGTTGAGAAACGCAGATCAAAACTACGATTAATATCAGCTTTGCAATAGTAAAAAGACTAAGCACTAGTTTGAAACCATGTTGTATTTAGTGACTAAGCCATTGCTTTTTACAATCTATTATAAGAACAAAAAATAATGGTATGTAATGCATACAGTGTTTTCTAAATGCACCACTTGGTCAGAAATAAAATAAGTATTAGGAGAGGCATCAGCGTTATTTACTCTCATTGGGCGTCAAGTTGGCAACAGAAGAACCCTTGGGAGCAGTCTGGGGAAAATTGACATCCAGGGCCATATCCCTTTTGTAAGCCCAGACACATGTCTTAGGTCAGGACGGCACCAAGGTGTGTCTATCTTCTGGTTAATGACAGAACACAAACAAAACCTCATTAAAACTTTTCAAATCCCAAACACTTTCCACCCGGCTCTTCAGGCATTTCCTATGGCCCAAAATGATTTTCTTCCACTCTACACAATCTCAGGAACACTTCTTTCAAAAAAGATTTCACAACGTTCTTCATAATTACTGACATCTCACCACTTATGACTAACAACATCGCATTACTACAATAAGGATACGGTTGAATTGATTAAATAAAAAAAAAGAATATACTAGTTAAGATTGGTAGAAAATGTGCTTATATATTTTGATAAAAATGGTTTATATTCTTTCTAAATTGATCTAACAGTATGTTGTTGCTTGCATCTACAGAACCCACTCAACAAAATTCCTACAAGTCATGAAATTGTTCTTGAACATGGTCATAAAACTGTAAGTTTAAAGTAATACATTTTTGAAGTGGATTTTTTAATTTATTTCTATTAGAAATGTTTGTTTGCTAACAAGCAATTTTGCTAATTTAGTGCTTTTTTGCACTAGATCTTATCTAGTTCTATACAAACAAAAATTAATTTATGGGAAATAACATTAATAAGTTCAGTCCCTTGAGTTTTTTAATCAAATTGGTGATTCTTTCCAAACTAGAATTTCAACAATTTTTGTTAAAAAAAAAGACATAAAAAGCTGTGCTTTCTAAAAGAATATAACGAACAATGGAAAAAGCGCTGATTTTTCCTTTTACTCTTTATTGTGAGAAGGAAGGCAATTAATACAAAAGACCACAGTGGTAAAAAAGCATTTTGGAAGTGACATACTTTAATCACTAAATTGCTTGAAAATCAGTATTTAGCTGTAACAGCAAATGTCGCTCTGAAAATAAATAAGGGGAAAGGGTGGGACAGGTGTTGTGTTTGCTTTGCATGTTGTAGAGCTGGACAAACATCAATTTTAAATTAGGAAGCAGCACCCATACACTTTTTTTGTGCACATTTTTAATTGATCTGTTTACGAATCTTTTAAAACCATATAAATTATGCAATATTATACTACATCTTTTTCAATTATACATGTTATTTAAAAAAGAATGATGTGCTTACAATAATTGTTTAGTTTATGAAGAATACACTGAATAAAATTAAATTTTACTACATTTACTCAATCACAGCATGATTAACAACTAAAATAATCTTTTACAGCTCATTACAATCTAACTTATTTTTGTTTCATAATATTGTGCTCTACGTTATATTTACTATCAATTTTTATTAAAATTATATTCTACTTCTGCACAAAACGGTGACAGTGACAGTATTGAAATAAAACTATTTAATTTATAAACCAGGTGTCAGCTCTAGCTTTAGATCCCTCTGGTGCTCGACTGGTTTCAGGAAGTTTTGATTTTGATGTAAAGCTCTGGGACTTTGCAGGAATGGATGCCTCTTTGAAATCTTTTAGATCACTGAGACCATGTGAATGGTAAAAATGAACTTTTATCAAATGCTGTTTCAAATTTACCCCAATTTAGTAAAAGAGTAGATACATTTGATTTACTGTGCAAGAAGCAAGTGGTGTTTGCTGTCTTAAATGTTCATACCTACATAGTGATGGGTTATGCTATCCGAATAGCGGAGCTAAGATAGAAGCAAATAAAAACTAGATAAGCCTTTCAAATACTGGTTTTTGAATGGTGCAAATATTTTTCTGCTATTTCAAACTGACTGAAACACATCTATATTGCAGAATGGTGCATACCATTACATTAATAGTCAATATATTATTGATCTGAGGTTTGATAATTAGATTATTAATTTTTTGATAAATTCTTTCATTCTTACGATTTTGGCGCACAATGTACGATTTTGAGGTGTATAAATTATATATACAGCACTTTTTTTTTCTATAAAGAGAATGCATTTAACGACTATGTGAGGATATTGTACGATTTTAAGAGTTTGAGGGTAAACAGGTCTGTTAACAGATAAACAAAAAAGTATACATTTTCCATTGTTGAAATACCCCTGAATATGTTAATCTTGACACTTTCATAATTACCATTTGTTTAGCTTGTTAAAAATTAAAGCTATTCAATGAAATCAAATGGTTTGATGAGTATACTTTATTAACATAGAAACTCTAATTAGCCACAGGATATTTTCCTTTTTTCACTTGAGGAAATGACTTTTAATACTGAGTAAAGAATGAGATTAAAAATTAATGAAATAAAATTCACCGTAATAAAGCATTTGAGATAAGACAACCAAAATTTATAATTATGAGCTAATGTGGAATTTTATAATGCCAGTTTTAATACATTTATCTTTAGCAGGTGGATAAATCCTTCTTTAAAAAAAATCTGAAAAGCTTTACCAGTTAATAGAAAAATGTGTATTTAGTAATAGGCTATTCCCAGAAAATGCTATTTTTATCCTAATTTATGAAATTGGTGCACAAGAATTATATATTGTATTGCATATACTTATATTTCTCCTTCTTCATATCAGTCATCAAATCAAAGGCCTAGAATATAGCACCACAGGTGATACATTGCTAGTAATAGCTGGTAATGCACAGGCCAAAATTATTGACAGAGATGGCTTTGAAGTTATGGAATGCGTCAAGGGAGACCAATATCTGGTGGATCAGGCAAGCACAAAGGTATGTGCATTTATGTGCATTTACCTGATGGTTAGGGGTGGGGTACCAGTTTTTAGTGAAAATGAAAACTTGTATTTTAAAAGAAGCTTCCTTTAAAAACATTTTTTAACACCTCTTGATCTCTATGTTTTTAAAACCTAAAAAAAAAAAAAATTATTTTGAAAAAAATTAAAAATTGAAGGTTGAGGCTGGGGGTGTTATTTGAGAAATAAAGGAATAACTACATTATCAGGTATGTTATTGTTACTCCCTAAAAATTTTCTGGAATTTTGCATGCTTCTACTTCTATAAAATTGATCTTTGCAGGAAATTCTCAAGTGCACATTAAAAGTGGTTTAAAATAAATCTTGCATAAGGTGTAATTAGACATGGGTTCATTACATATTTTCTTAATTAGGGATAGCTGGTATTGCAATGACAAAAATGAAATATTAGTTGATTTCAGCATTCACTTACGTATGCCGTTAGTAAATAATAGAACCAACTCCCACTTGAAAACAAATGTTTTTGTTGTGTGCTACATTTTAGGGCCATACTGCTTCCCTTAATTCTGGTTGTTGGAATCCAAAAGTGAGAGAAGAGTTCTTGACATGTGCTAATGACTGGTAGGAAGAATGTTCCTTAAATTAATCCTTTATTTCCATCGGATCATATATTAATATTGAAAATCAGTTATAACATGGGGTTTAATCCTAATTTAAATTTTTAATCAAAATCTTTTTAAAAAAACATAGGTATTTAAAAATTAATGTGAATGTATTGGTATATGTGGATTCTGTCTTCAGTTAATCAGTGTTGTCCTTATGCTAGGGCAAAGCTCAGGTACAAATAACAATTTAATAAATGAAATATAAGTTTTTTTCAATTATTTCTCTCAGTCAGATGAAAATTATTTTTCTACCATTTCATTTTATCACAGCACGCTTCGTCTGTGGGATGTAAATAAAGCCTTGAAACACAAGAATATCATCAAGACAAAGTCCACTGGTGGGAGAAAGACAATTCCAACCGCATGCACTTACGGCAATGATGGTCGTTACATTGTGGCAGGATGCAATGATGGCTCCATACAGCTGTGGGACTCCAACAAGCACTCATTTGTGAGGGCTTTTAAAACCTGCTCCTTCTAATTTTAACAATTTAATGCTAGAACAAGTGACTTGTGATGCGAGCAATAGGATTCCTAAGGACTTAATTCTTAAACACATTAACTTATTTACCACTGCTTTAGCTCAGAAACCCTCTTTCGTGTTTAAGGGCTTATAAATTGATACTTTAAATACCTTAGTTCAAGTAGGATTTGAGATCTTTTTTAGAGTTAAAATTCAAGAAGGAATCTAGTGTTTAATTTTTTTCTCATGTAGGTTAATGTAGCCATGCAGAACAAATCAGCTCACATGAATGGATCAGATATTTCATGTCTTAGATTTTCTTATGACAGCCGCACATTGGCATCAAGAGGACGTAAGTCATTAAAAAATAATTCATAAGTGCAATTTAGTTGATTGTAAATTTTAATTGAAATAAATATTTTCATCTTGTTTAAAGTCACAAAACTTCCCTGAGTTTATGTCAGAGAACTGCTCTAGCATATTATAAAGAAATATCTGTTTTTAAGAATTGACTGGATTTTTTAATTTTTTATTTGTTTCAGGTGATGACACTTTAAAGCTGTGGGACCTTAGAAATTTTCAGAAGCCACTGAATACAGCTGGAAATTTGCCAAATAGTTTTCCAATGTAAGGATAGTTTAGACAAGTTCATTTTATTTGTTCACATTTTTTACACAACGCATGAAAATTAGACCCAAATTAATGTTTGACTTAACTCTTTCGATGCGGAACAACGCACACTGCGTTCTTCCGCCGTTCTCAAAAGCACGGACCAACGCGCTGTGCGTTTTTTCAATATCATGTTTCTTTCTTTGCTATTTCTCGGTTAAACTTTTTAAGAGCTATTTTTTAATAAGACTTTTACATAGAAGAGTGGTACTTCATTGTTTACAATCGAAACCAAGGCTTATTTATTGTCAATTGAAGCATTATTTTGATGATTTTCTTCGCGGTTTTTTTTTTTTAACTGTTGCTATGGCTACCCGAGGCTCTAATAGGTAAGTTTCCTAGACGATTAACAGTTAAAAAAGCTTTGAAATTGTTTTATATTTATTTTGACAGCAAAGATGATTTATATTTAGATGCATCGCATGAGTCCGATGGTAGTAGTTTTAGAGGAATTGAGTTATAGAATTGAAGATGAGGTATGCGTACATCGTTGGGTTTGGGGAAAAATGGTTTAGCATAAAATGTTTTCACATTTTATGGTTCTTTCGTGTAACTTATTTTTTTTAAACTGTAGAAACTAGTGTACAAATATATAGTCCTTTCAATTACCTTTCATTTGATACTAAGTTTAGTCTTATAAAGCAAAGAATAATATTATAAATATTTTTTAATAAACCCAACCTCTCACTCTTTTTCCGCTCTTCGAAAAAAATGTACATTTTTTCGATGAAAAAATTCCGCAGCGAAAGAGTTAAGGGATATTACAAAATTCCTGAATGCTGCTAATATTCAAATGTTTCAGGACTGACTGTGTATTTAGCCCTGATGATAAGCTTCTAGCTACTGGAGTGTCTTTACAGAGAAATGAAACTGGAGGAAAGATTGTTTTCTTAGACAGGGAGAGTCTAAGTGTTGTGAAAGAGATGCATGTCTCTGAATCTGTGAGTAAAAAAAAATATCACATCCAATTTTTTTTTTTTTTTTACAATATTAAAATAAGTTATAAACTTGTATTTATTTATTTTCATTTTACTGTTGCATTCACCATTTTTAAGATTGATGCCTTACAACAACCAGGGACAGTGTATGGCTTGAATAAATGAATTAATTTTATTATTATATCTCAATAATATTTGTAAGCTTTACAGGAAATAAGATGTGTTTTCTTTTAATTCATCACTATTATTACCATTAAATGTATTTGAAAAGCAGACATTTATTCCTTTCTTATCCGTTTATAAAAGAGCACAGTTCGCTTTTTGTGGCATCCAAAATTAAATCAAATGGTTGTTGGATGTGGTGATGGACAGATCAAGCTCTACTATGACCCAGATAAGAGTCGCAGGTAAGTGAGAGATTTTTTAACACCGGTACAAGTCTAATAAGTAAAGTTTCACTCAACCAAATTTTAAATCCTTATAAGGCACATTAGGCAGTGAACTTTTAAATGTCTTTCTTCTAGGGGAGCAATGCTGTGCATAGTCAAAAAGGAAAGGAAAATTAAACAGGCTGAGATTGTTGCTGCACAAAATATTATTACACGTAAGTTAATAATTTTATCCTTTTTGAAACAAAATAATTCATTTTATTTTCCCATTGTAATGTAAAAGTAAAAGTCACCGAAATATGACATTTTATAACACATTCATTGACTTGGTATAATAATAAGATATTTTTAAATTCTTCCACTCGTGTCTCCAGCCTATGCCTTGCCCATGTTTCGTCAAGGGAGACCAACAAGCACCAGGAAATTTGAAGAGAGGGTGAGGAAAGATCCAGTAAAAAGTCACCGCCCAGATCTGCCAGTTTCAGGCCCAGGTATGGTTGGTTACAATTCTAGTAACTAAAAATTATTTAGGTCAGGAAATTTAGAGCAACCGAGTTCAGGTGATTGGAAGGTGGACATCTGTTATAAATACAAATTCACCAATGTAAAATGTGACCGAATTGTTGCAGCTTTAATTAAAATAATTTAATACTCCTATATACAAAACACCAGGAAGCTCCTTTTAAATATACATTTGCTTTTTATTTTGATTTATTTAGGTACTGGTGGCCGTGTTGGTGCAAAAGGAGCAACCTTATCTCAGTATGTGGCCCAACAGATTGCATCTAGAAAAGCTGATCCATATGAAAAAGATCCCAGGGCTGCAATCTTACGCCACGCTAAGGAGGCTGAAGAAAATCCTTACTGGATTAATCCAGCTTATAAAAAGTTTGTTTTTGTAATTTAGATCACTAGTTTGCATCCAGTTAATCACTCAGATCTTTACTAGGGTAACTGTTTATTCTCAAACTTATTTTATCAATAATACTGTACTTTGGTACATACTCCGTAGGGTATAAACCAAATCCACAATTTTACGTAGCTGCCATGTCTTTTTCCCGTTTGGTTTGTTTTTTCTTTACTTCAAATCACTTTCTGTCCATTCTTCTTTTCTTTGTTTTTGTTTGGGTTTTGCTCCCACTCGTATTCTTTTTTCTCTTTTTTAGGTAGTATACATGTGTATGTATGATGTAAATTTAATTGATACTTATTTAAATGTTTTGTTGTTATACTGATGAAGGCATGTGCAGAAACGTTTACTTATGTATTATGTAAAATTATTAAAGCTAAACATTTATTGTTATATTGACACAAATTGTTCATGTCCAATTAATTAATCTATTTTAATGCTTTAATGCAGTCCAACACTTTTTTACTTATTTGGTGAATTATTTGAAAATAACTTTTTTAAAATTTGTTACTTCAAAATTATAATTATAAGTTGCTAAATTTTATCTCTCTTTGTACTTTAGCTCTCAGCCTAACCCAGTTTTCATGCAACCAGAGGAAGATGACAGTAAAAAAGATGACGACGACCCAGGGCCTATTTGGAAAAAAAAAAAACTGCAATAAATGAGTATACTTGTTGACATAAAATGTATTGTAAATATAATGTAATAAAAACCCCCCACCTATTTTTATTGTTCTTCTCATATTTATTTTTTAAAATAAAAATCCTTAGAAAGCTTTAGTAGGTTGACAAAAATTATTTACAATCTGCACTTGAATGTATTTAACAATTCTGAAAGAAATTCAACTAAAAAACAAAATGCTTCCACTAAACTTACCACCATGAAATATGTAACAAAAATTAAATCGCAACGAACTTGATATGTAACTGGCACAAAAATAGGGAACTTTTTAGAGTGTGCTTTTTTTTTTTAAAGGGCACATTTTATGTTAGATGAACCTCATCTGTTTTAATTCATATTGTTATTTTAATTCACCTGACACTTTTTTATGCCAGTGATTCCCTTCCATTACATTCTACCGGCGGATGGTCAAAGAAAAAGATGTTAAACCAAAAAATGATAAGTTATATTGGCAGGTTTCACAGTGTTGGGAATGACAGAAGTACACTCACTCCGTTATGTAGATCTTTAGCTTGGAAATACTAGATAACTATCTGAAGGTATTGAATAGCAAATATGCACAGGATCCTGTTGTTACAGCAAGGGAAACCCTGAAGAGGAAAACAAAATTGTTTTTTAAAATTCTAAAGCCACAGCGATATGTATAAAATTCAATAGATTAGTATTTCAAAATAAAGTGGCATAAAAAAGGTTCATTTTGAAATATACATACCACAATATGCTTTGCCCTAGTCTTGAATGTTCCCAAAATCTGTACTTGGTGACTGCAATTGAATGATGGTTTTTGAATGCTTCTAAGATTTCTCTAGCTCTAAAAGAGAAAATTATTATATTCATTATCAGTAACAGTAATATAATTAAATTTTAACAAGGGGTTATTACAAATTAACTGATATGCAAGAAGTAATTGGAAGGCAACTATGGTTAAGTTTAAGGAGGTTCATATTTGTTAATAACAGTTTTGTTTGGGCAAACCAATTATTGTTTCATAAACATCAAATATTAAACAAATTATAGGTTTTATTTGCCCTTATAGTAGGAACCATTCTCCAATGCTTAGAGGGCAGTATAAAACTACAAATAATGTGGCAAATTTCTGTGAGGAACCAGGGATATCTTTCATTATTTTTCTGGAAATTGCATTGCTTTGGGTCAAACTCCATATTTTCAATTATAATAGGTGCTTATTATTTTATTAGAAATTATTTTTTTTTATTATAATTAACTAAAAATACTTCTTTTAAAAATAGAGAAAAAATTGGATAAGTGATACTCTGACAATTGTTTTCAGAGGTAATAATAAAATTCAAACAGTTCATTAGTAGGAAACATGGAAAAATTATAATATGACATTATAAATGTGGGATGGGCATACCATAAGATGTATAGAGCCCAATGAATATTACTAAAAATATTCAGGATACTTACGTCAAGAAATTTGAGGTTGCCACAATGGCTTGTCTTGAGTTAATCATTTGAATGTCAACTAGGCCATATAAGGAAAACCACACAGCCAACTGCAGATATAAATAATAGGAATGCCTGGCATGCAAATAAAGTTAAACCCAAATTTTATTTATTAATTCAATCATACGAAGGTGTATCTTATTTTAAGAACATTTTCCCTTTTTTGCTGATCCATTTTGTCGTTATTTAGCGGTAATAAGGGGAGAGACTGCAATCAGGTTAGTACAAAATAAAATGAGTAAAACAGAGTAGGGTTAAACCTGAAAAAATAAACGCAAAAAAACAGCGAACGTGTCGGCAGAAAGCCTTCGTCAGCGAACAAAACAACAGAAAAAACGGTATAAAAATAAAAAATAGCAGTTAGCTGGTAAGTAGTATCTGTGGGCACTTCTATTGCTGCTCACAGATACTACTTACCAGCTAAGTGCTATTTCTTATTTTTATACCGTTTTTTCTGTTGTTTTGTTCGCTGACGAAGGCTTTCTGCCGACACGTTCGCTGTTTTTTTTCGTTTATTTTTTCAGGTTTAACCCTACTCAGTTTTACTCATTTTATTTTGTCGTAATTTAACATGGAACCTGGCAGAGTGTAACGTGGAACCTCTATATCAGCCATTGATCTCTTTCTGAAGGACTGAAAAATAAATTTGACAAAACATAGAATCAATCTATTTTCATAACAATTAAGACTAATTGAAAGTTCCCCAATAATCCTCCAAATTATAAAAAAATAAAATTCAACCAGAGTTTTATCTTTACTGAGGAGTGATGATGGCAGAAGCTGAAGAGGAGTAAAGGAATCATTGTTTAGAAGGGACGTCACCTTCCATTAAAAAACACCAGCCTACTGCAATTCTTCACCAAATATTCTTTATGACTTTATCTAGTGCCTGTCTAAAGTTGACTGTTTATTTTTTCTTCTCAAAACTTTCATGACAAATATTGAATTTTCGGATGCATATTGAATTTTGGGTCAAAATTAATGCTAACTATGAATATTGGATTTGACGAAAATAAAGCATCATTCCGTCTTTGCAAGACGATGGATTAGCCTCATCAAATGGGTTCCTAGCTGATCCTGGAATGGCAGTCAGCTGCATTTATTGCAGGAGAACCTAGACTCCTGGTTAGATCTGGCCTTCCATGCTGCTCTTTTGGATGCAAGGGCTTCGTTTTGCGCATCTTCTGCCCTTTTGACTCCTTCATGCACTGCTGTGCGCCTGCTGGAACGGTGTTCGGTGATGATCTCCCATTCATTGATTTCATGCTCCTTTTCCAAACTTAAATTGCAGCCTCAGCCTGCCCAATAAGTCTTGTCCCTTCTGTCTAACAGCAGATCCTTTGGAATAGGGCCTTCCTTCATTCTCCTTATATGGCCTAACCAGCAAAGGCACCTCTTGTGGAGAATATGCCACACGTTTTTGCATCTTCAAAGACCTCTGTGTTGGGCACCTTGTCTTAACTGCGTAAAATGTGACACAGAAATCTTTGATGAACGCAGTTGAGTTTCTGCTCATGACTGGCATTATGTGGTCCACACTTCTCTGCCATATAGGAGCGTACTACGCACACATGCCTGATAGACGCTTAGTTTTGTACTGTCAGTTTAAGATTATTCCACACCCGTTTATTCAATTCAGCCATATTTGCTGCTGCTTTGCCGATACTGATGTTCACCTCTTCGCCAACGGAATGTGAACTAGAGATATTGGGTCCAAGGTATATGAAATGCTCAACTACCGACAGATTATGGCCCTCAATAGATATGTATGGAGGGGACTGTGCTTCTTGTTTCATGCTAATTGACAGTTCAAACTCTACATGCATGTGAGAGGTGATTAACTAGCCACTGAAGACCTTCTTCTGTGTGCAATGCTAAGGCGGCATCATCAGCAAACAGCAGCTCAAAAATTAGTATCTTTTAACCTTGGTCTTTGAGATATTGAACAGCCCACTGTCAGACCTGGTTCAATTTGCAATTGTTTAAGGGAGACATGGGAAAATATCTTTCCATCTAAGTCAAGAAGAGCAATCCATCTTTAATTATTACAATCACTACGGTCACCTTTATTTTTGTAGATGTTACAATTATGGGGGCCGATATATATAGAGGTCTCACTGTACATTTTTTTTACAATCAATCTCATGGCTTTCTTTTTGTAGCATTTATAATAAGAGTTCATTCTGGAAACATAATTTGCTCAGATAACCCAAAACAGAATAAATTCATTGTGCATACTTGCCAGATTAGCGTCTTCTTTTTTTTTTTTACCACAATGAAACTTATTTAAATAATTGTCGGTAAATTTATATTATCCAAGGTTACTTAAATAAATATCATTTAATATATATATTACCAGTATTGTCTTATCTAGGTAGATCACTGTACATTTTAAGGGCCATTGCAAAACTGTTAGATGGATTTGGCATATCTGAGAGGAACATCAATGAACATGACAAGAAGAACAATATTACACCAGGTGTTTGTTTACCTGCTGTGAAATCAATTTAGCACCAGGTTTAACAGTGTTAACAAAAATTAGTGGAGGTCTTTGACTTGGAGGCTCCTCTCCATCTAGCTTCTGAAAACAGGAGTAAAAAAAAAAAAAGAACAACTTATAGAATTGCTGTTACAAAAAAAATGCACTTCTTAAAGTCAGAGCTAAAAGTATTAACAAAGTTCTTTTCATGAATCTAAAGAAAAAGCATGTTGGACAAATCTTAATTGTCAACAGTTATTATATTGAACCAGCGGATGTCCCTATTACAGAGCCGTTGTGTGACTTTTGGAGGCCCCCTGCCACGTTTTCAGATTGTGCCCTCTGCATTCAAAGTTGATAATTCTAATTTTTATTTCCACATGACAAATCTGGGCCCCTTAAATATCAAAGGCCCCCTTGCAGCTGAAGGGGTTGCAGGACCCATAAAGCGGTTCCGCAGCAAATGCTTACTATATGGGCTGCCATTGCTCTGATGAGATTGATGCAATTCTTATATTTCTTCATTGTACCAAGGTAATCCTTAAAAGCACAGGGTCGAACATCCATGGAGCTGTTGGTAGAAATAAACAGGATGCCATCATTTAAAACAAACTCAAATATAAAAAATATATCATTAAAAACTCATTAAAAACCAAAAACCGATTGTTATTTGAATTATATAATAGTTCTCAAAGTTTAATACTTGGAAAATGTGTAATGGACAAACCACTATTTCAGGAAATTGGAAATGCTACTGCTAAAATGAAATTCAATATTTTAAAAAAATCAGAGCAATTTGAAGCCATTACTTTATACTCCTATTGTTTGATCTAAAACTATAATAATGAAAAATAAAGATTTAAGAAATGTGAACCAGTTCACTAACCACACATCCCGGAAGTGCAGAAAATGGCATAAGCGTAAGAAAACTGTTGGTAAAAAAATAATAATTTTTTTAAAACTTAAAATAATAAGCTCAACCCTTAAAAAACTGCTGAAATTACATGACAGTACAATGTTTGGTAAAATATATGTGGATATTTGTCTCATAAAATTAGAGCCTTAATACTTGTGCTTCTTAATGTGATACCTAATGGCCCAGCGTGTGTGTAGATACAATACTGCATTTTTTGTTCAAACTTTGCTTGGTCTGGTATTTCATTATTCAAGGGAAGTAATAATAAATAAGGTTTGGATGGTTCTAAAGTTTTAGCAGATTTTAAAACACAAACTATGTGTGAATAAACAAGAATGGTAAAGCATAAAGTATATATAATACAAGTAAAAATGTTTCTACTTCAAGCCTTCAAGTAAAAAAAACCAATAAAGCTTATGAATTAAATTTTAAAAAATACCAAATAAATTATAAAAATGGGAAAGCACAAATACCTTACAAACTAACTGTACCATATAGGAGCATCTATAACACATTTTACAGCAAATAATTGAAAAAAAAAAAAGGGGGATTTACCGTAACCACAAAGGTAAGAGTCATAACCAGCATGGTGCAGCTGATCCGTTTCTGAAAATTAACATCTGAAGTCAAATGATAAGATCATAGATAAAAAAAAAAAAACGTCACCAAAATATAAGCATATTAACTACTGTAATTTATTCATAGTTTCTTTTCATGGTTTTTATCAAAATTGTGCAAAATGCCTCAGTGCTTTTTGATCAATAATGAAATATCATGAAAAACTCCATTTTTACCTTTATTTTCAACACTTTCATCTTGGATAATACTTGGGTGACCAAGGGTTCTGTGCACCAATATGCTAGAACAGAAAGAGAAACAGAGCTTAATGTGATGTTAGAAATTATAAATAATGTTGAAAAAAAAAAAATAAAATGCCTACACAGAAATTATTATAAACTCAAGTTTGTCATTAAAACGTTATTTTCAACATTTATGAGAATCAAACAATGATCAATATTACCTTTTGATACCATCATATAAATCTTTTAAGCTTGACACACTGTATACTTCTACAGATTCTAAAACCTGGGGAAACAACAATCTGACAGAGTTAGTTTAAGAGTCTTTGAAAATAAATATAAAACAACACAGCAGAAGGCAGTTGAAAAGACATAAAAGAAGAATACAGCACAAATGATTATTTATAGTGCAATGTTGATCTTCACATCACTAGCAGTAGCTAAAAATATAATGCAGATTGAATAAGGAACAAACCAACCTTTCGTAGACAATGGTTGATGTGCTTAGTATCAAATATGACAGGGAACATTCTTTGAATATCTTCTTTAAACACATTGAAGCTGTCTGGAAAGAATGAGAATAATAAAAAAAAAAAAGGAAATATCAATTAATCTGTTAACATTTTATTTCTAAATCTAGTAAATGTTTCATCAACTGGCAAACACATTTCACATCACAAAGATTACAATGATGGGATTTGCAGACGCTGGCAGTTTCATCTTAAATTTTTCAAAATATTAAGTTTTTTTTTTTTTTTTACAAAATTTGTAAAAGATATTAAATTTTTCTTTTTTATCATTTTATTTATAATTTTATTTGAATGTTATGTTTCTTTTGCTCTTCCTATTTTGGCAGTTTCATCTTAAATTTTTCAAAATATTAAGTTTTTTTTTTTTTTTTACAAAATTTGTAAAAGATATTAAATTTTACTGTTTTATCATTTTATTTATAAGTTTATTTGAATGTTATGTTCCTTTGGCTTTGCTATGATTTTTTTTAAATTAAAAAAAAATTAGATTTAACATAATGCCTTGATATTATAGGTGCATAACATTATAAATAATACATTTCATAAACAAAAGAAAACAAACAGTAACACTTTTTTTCAATATGTACAAATTTGATATATTCTATTCATCAATTTGTTAAGCTTACCTGGCAAATAATTGTGAAATTTTTCATACATAAACATCAGATCCATTAATAAGTTATGACCAACCAAAGGCTGAAAATTATGGATTTGATACTGATTATAGGAACAAAAAAAAGTGACTCTAATTTTAAAAGGCATCAGATACACAGGACTTCTTAAGAAATGCTCAACAGTTTCTTTCTACTCTTTTTTTTCTACAACACGGCTGAATTAATAGTCTTTTAATAGTTCTATAATGAAAAAAAAATCAAAACATTTAACTATGAGCTTCAGTTGTACAGCCTTCAATGAAATAAATCAATCCATTATCGTATTTGGATCCTTTGATACATAATTATGTAGCATTAAAATCATATATTTTTAAAATGAATAGTAATTTATTTTTCAAACAGCTAAAAATACTATTATTTTATTATTACTATTAGTTTCCAATTTTCTCTCACTTTTTTAGCTTCTTGAATTAGCCGAAAGACTCTTGTGAATCCCAGCATTTCCTCAATCTGCCTGTACAAGTTTTAAAAAAAAAAAAAAAAGAGTAAAGAGCTAGGGTAAGATTATTGTAGAATTATTGACTTATTCCTGTGGTACAAAAATCAATTTGGTACATGTTTTATTTTATTATTACTTTTAGTTTCCAATTTTCTTTCACTTTTTTAGCTTCTTGAAATAGCCGAAAGACTCTTGTGAATCCCAGCATTTCCTCAATCTGCCTGTACAAGTTTTAAAAAAAAAAAAAAAAAGAGTAAAGAGCTAGGGTAAGATTATTGTAGAATTATTGACTTATTCCTGTGGTACAAAAATCAATTTGGTACATGTTTGTTTACAGATCAAAAGCATCAAAACTGCATCAGCTTTACAAGTATCAGGTATCAATTCACAACATGCGTCAACCGTCAAAATGAAAGAAATGTCAAAACAAACAACAAAGCATGAATTTAATGTGAACAAACCCTACAAAAATTTTATTATGCAAATGTAGCAAATAATAGAAATTACTCTAATTAAAAGTGTCATATGTTTTAATTAATAAAAATGTGTTTTTACATTTTTTGAAACACTTGATCAGAGTCTGCACTTTGTTTTTCAAGTAGCTGCCTCTTCATTTCATCTATCCGCTCCACCACAATCTTAAATGAAAAAAGAAGCATTAAAAATAATTATTGTTTAAAATTGTGACGATCTGAAGCTGGACTTTGCAAAATTTCTTCCATCGTAAATCCGCCCCAGGAAACCCTTGTAAAATAACTCCTTTCCCTCCCCTCAAGTTGCCCCGCAGTCGCTTAGCACGAGTGTGTTCTCTTGTGTCATCGCATTCCTGCATCAGTTTGCTCACCTCCAGAGCATGCTATTTGCGGTCAACCCATCCCACCGAAGAAGCTTGAGGAAATACCATTCCCCCCCCCCCTAATTTTTGCCCTGGAGACTGCAAAGCGGAGTATCGTCCCTTGCTGGTCTTGCATTTCTAAACCAGAAAACTCACGCCAAAGCGTGAATAAGGACGTTCATCTCAGCCCGATAAACATTGAGGGTAGAAGGTCAAACTCACAACATCGAAAGTGAAACATGGAAAAACATACATTTGAATCACCCAATTGAATCATCAATTAATCGTCACCCAACTCGAATAAATAGCCTGAACAAGCAAGAATCAGTCCAGATCCTTCCAGCATTCACGGTCAAGTGATCAGATCATAAAAGACAGAACTTCGTGAGTATGATACATAACTGCAACCTAGGCAAGTATATGACTTTTAATCATATCTGATCACTTGATTGTGGACGCTTGAAGTGACTAGACTTAGTACTTCACTGGCGTGATACTTAACTGCAACTGCTACCTAGAGTACTAGTAAGTACGCAACCATGATTTTGATATTATGGTATTGCACTTGTATTGTTCATTCGCTCTGTCGCAAATATTCGATCGTGTTTGATCTTATTCTAATCATGCCTATATTACATTATATTGATATTATGAATTCTATTATTACTTTTGCCGCAGGCTACAACAGGCCGCCGTTCCCTCATGGGTATGGTAGAATGTTGTTCCTACTCGCCCATGTCTCTTTTAACGAGAAGACAATATGTATACGATGTACCTGTAAATTTAATGATTGATAATGATTCTACGTCCCGTACTTCATTAAGTAAAATGTTTGTGTGGTCTAACATTGTCGCGATGCAACATATGCTCTCGCCGACTATGACAAGACTTATAATTCCATCCACAAATTGGATGAATATAAGTACAAGGTACGTCACCTTCCAAACATTGATCTGAATTCATTGCTGTTGGATCGGGACTTATCAGCTTATGGATATTCGCCTGGATACTTATCCATTTTTGTATCATTTTGCCATTAGCCTGGTTTCTATTACTGGACCAACGTACCTTGAAGCTGGAACTAGGGGATTGATCTACATCCTACACCAAACTACCTGACAGCTAGGACTTCAAGATCCAGGGACTCTCACCACCACGATTTATCGCGGGAGAGTCATCTTCACATCGCAGACATCCAAAGGAATCTACGACAGGGAACTCCGACTTCGCTACGCTTGGAACAGCTCCGAAGATCGGAATAGGGACACGTTTTTAGAACAGAAGGAGCTCCCACACTGTGTGATCCACCGAGACCATCACAGAAACTATAAAGGCTAAGTTTATGAAGATCGAGCATAGGACTTGAGCATATAGCAGTAATAATGATGGTACCGTCTGTATGTTAGGGACACTTGCTTTGTGTTGATATACCTTTCTAATTGGATGAAATTTATTTGATGTTTATATATATTAAACACCAATAGTGTTTTACGGAGGAAGTTGTAAATATTATTATGCAATAAATATTTGTAGTTAATTTCTCCTTTAACTAAGACTTCGTTTCAGTCTATACTATATGTATATAGATAGGTGTTATGTCTGTGTGGTAATTTGGCTTAAATAACGAATCCCTAGACAGAGTGCCAAGAGGAGATCTCATACGAGAGATACTCCTCACTAACAAGTCATAAGTCAGATCACCACAAAAATATTGCTGGAAATATTCTGTGAATGAATCTAGTCACAGTAATTTCATATTCAAGCTTATTTAAATATTAGCCAAAAGTAATTTGTGTATATTGACAAAAACTTGATATATGTCCCTTGTGATCCAACCTTAATAAACAAATTAGTAAGATCCATAGTAATGTCATCGAGGTCTGATCATTAGTTTGTAATTTATTTAAGTTAATTTAAAAAAAGAAATTTGACAAGGTTTAATGGTGCATTATAACTTGCTGTCAGTGGGATCTTCATATTCTTCTATATATTAAGGGCCCACGATCAATTTATTAATCATTTTGGCTACTATGCACATAGAGGGGATTTGCAATGTTTATGTGCCTGGTGTTGACGAGGAAATTTCACTGATTGCAAGTGCCACTTTGTGAGCGAATCAATCACTGGGGGTTTGAAGGCTTGAGGCAATAGACACAAATACAAATGTGTCTAGTGTTGTTGCCTCAACTGTTCCTTTTGAAAGCCTGTTCCAGTCCCTGATTGTCTTGGGTAGGAATGAGCAGTTCCTATACTGGCTTCTAGCTGGTATAAGCCGGAATTGCCTGTCATGGCCTCGTCGCTGTCTATCTTAACACCCATTTTCCCATTTCATCTGTGAAATTTTTTCTTGATGAATGACTTCAGTTTATTGAAGTTGCGTTACTTGCTTTATAAGTTTACTGTAATGTTATGTTAATTATTGCTTCTCTGGCACAGTATGTTTAATTGCTGCTGTTTTGGTATAATCTTAATAACAAACACTGCTTTAAATAAAATAATACAATTATTTTACAATATAATGATAACTATATATTAATTTTTTCAATAAAATAAATTTACTTGTCAATCCTGTTGTATTGTGATTTAAATAAAATATATCAAAGGAAAAATTTGATCAAAACTTTGTAAATCAATTTGATTTAAGCTAAATTATGTTACTACCCTGTAACAATTTCAATTAAAAAGATTCATTTGCTTCTTCCTCTCAGTACGTAGCCTGAAAAAGTTTAAAAGTTTGGGTAAATAGGTTTTGTTTGAAAGAGTCATTGGATTTATATAATGCTACAAGGAATTTAAAATTAGTTAACTTTACTTAAATGAAATATAAATTATGGTGGGAGGATCTTTAAAACAGTTTCATAAATATTATGACCAATGGTTTTTACCTGATCAAATTGATTGGTTGTGGTCCATATCTGTGCAAATCTTGAGCGTAGATTTGAATGATAAACATAGGATGATAAATCAACATCTGTATGAAATATGTATATGGATAAACTTTTTAAAAAATTCTCATTAAAAATAGAATAAAATCGTAACAGATGAGGTTAGCATACTTTACATTAACACTTGTTTTTATAATGACATGGTCAATTTGACAGTTGATCATGGTGATTTTAAATGTTTATTTAACAATTGGTCATCCATTAGCATTTAACAACTGTTCATGCACTACCATTTAACAAACATAGGAACGCATCTTGGGAACAAAATATGATACTAAATAGTTCGAAAAATGTTCAAAGTTTTTTTTTTAAAAGCTATGTCTGCCTTAAATAGTCACAATGACATCAATTTCTCTTCTTTTGAGATCAAGCATTTTATTAGATTCTTTTTCCAATGCTTTCCCCTTTGCATATTTTATGTTATTCTATAATAAAAAGTTATTTCATTATTTATGAAAGGGACTCTATTTCCAAATTCTACCCAAGCTTAATGATAGTTTGATACTCCCAGCCAAGCAAAGAAAAAATGCATGATAAAAGTCAAACTGAACACAGCAGAAACAAACCCCTATAACTGGCCATAAAAACTTAAACAGAGCACTGTATTTGGCCATAATAACTTAAATTCTAAAATACGCTATCAAATAATTATGAATCATATTTGCATCAGCTTTAGAAATGACTAAAAAAGTTTTATAATTATATCTTATCAATTAATGATAATTGTATGCATCTATAAATTCTAACCGGTTGTACTTCAGCTCCATAATTTACCATTATTTAATGACAATGTTAAACACTCTCCGATTTCAGCACTTGCAAGCCAAGAAGCCACTTTTGAGCACAAAGTCTGCACATCTTTTTCGTAAATATCACTGTTGCATCAAACAGTTGTAAAAAGAGGGTATAAGTAAACATTAAAAATCTAATTTTAAAAAAAAGCAACAATAGTGACTTGTATGTAATAAAGATCAAATTGTATCAAATCAAATGTAACCCTTAGAAAAGTATTTTCATTTAATACACATACACTTAATGTTATTATTTCTGCTAATCATTACCAAATTGCTTAGGAAATTCAAACAAATAGTTAAATATCCAGTTAACATTGACAATAATATTCTAAAAAGATGTATTTGTATAAGCTGAACCCAAAATAAAAACATTAATGAATTTTATACTTTAATAAAAGAAATCCACAATCCACAAAGAGTACTTTCCATAGTACTTGCTTCCCGTTCCACATTAGGCCTATAGCTAAATTACATTGCCCGCAATCAGCTAATAATCAAATCAGAGTAACCCTCTGGATTGTTAAGCATTTTCTTTTTGAATATATGAATTCGTAATAGATAACTTAAATTTAATTTTTATCAGATACACCATCCCCAAAATTGTCTTCTAAGTTGAGCTACTTGAATATTTCTGGAGTATATGAGTTACCTTTCAAGCATAAGGCCAGCTGCAAGTTCTTCTTTTATTAATTTTTCTTGTGCAAGATTCAAATAAGGGAGTCCTTCATACAGCCACTGAAATTTCATTGAAAGTTTTTATTAGCAGTTCAGCTTCAAGTAGTTTGACATTTTTTACACACACAACAATAAAAAAAAAAAGAAACAATTTTTTTTTTTTGCAATATAGTTAACAAAACGTAACACCATCGTTATAAACAACTATGACGTGGCAATAAGGTAGTCCTATAATCTTTTTTTTTTTAAAGTTAAAAATTGTGTGCTGTCATACCCTTTTTAGACTTAAATAAGAGAAGCGAATTCAATTTCATAATTTGAAATAAAATGTTATCAGAGAGAATTTAAAAAAAATTTGTTCAAAATTATGTTAACGAAAAGCTATCAGGACTGACTTATTTCAGAGATTATCCTGATATTCATCTTTCACTAAATGTTTTCCATTTAAATAATAAAATTAGACGGGTTTAAATCACATTCTATTTTGAAAACCTAAACTTATTTTGTAAGTATGTACTTTTACAAAGTAGGTCCATTTCCCAAATCAACTAATTATTTTTTTGGTGCACTGGTGGGATAATTCATCAATTGCAGCATCACTGACAATGATGGGGATGTTGCTAAATTCAGCCCCATAATATGAAAAAAACCTACCTTATTATAATTAAATGAATGCTTGCACAGAAATTTTATACAAGAGGCCTGAAAGTTAAGAAAGAAATATAACTCATGTATTACTATAACTCAAAGTTACATAAAACATCTATTAGTTCTTTTATCAGCCATCACAACAGAAACATAGCCCAATATTTTCAAATATTTTTTTAAAAGCTCTGCAGTGAAAAGAAATAATAGATTTTAATCTAAAATAAACCAATAATAAAATTCACAATGAATGACTAAGTAAATAATGGAAACTTTAAAAAAAAAGAAAAAAAAAAAAAAAAAAAAAAAAAAAAAAAATAAATATTTTTTTAAAAGCTCTGAAGGAAAAAAAAAAAATAGATTTAAATCTAAAAAAAACCAAAAAAAAAATTCAAAATAAATGACTAAGAAAAAAATGGAAACTTTAAAAAAAAAAAAAAAAAAAAAAAAAAAAGAAAAACAACAGCATTTTATTGTACCAGAAACTTCTTTGTTTACCTGCACAGTGAATCTCTGATCAATAGATCCTGAAGGCTCAGGACAGAGGTGAAACTGGAATGTTTGTGCAGAGTAACTGAAAGATCATGCAAATTGAGTCGCAACAAGCACAAAAGTATCCCAAGCAATGGAAAATCTAATTAATGTGAATCCACTTTATGAATGAATGAAAAAAAAAAAAGGTTTAAAAATGAAACCAGCACAGGTTAAAACATTTAGCCCCAATAAATAACACAAATTTCAGCTGGCTAGAAAGCATATTACTCTAAGTGGTACAAATAAATAATTTTTTGGAACTCTTAAAAAATATGTGCATGATTAAAAATTAATAATTAAAAAAGGGGGTTAAACAAGATTTTTTTAGTGTGGATCATTATCAAGGGGAGTAAACTCAAAGCAGGTTTAATGCTGAGTTGGACTACCTGTTTTCCTCAACATTGCCCGTGAACGTTGTAAAACCTAAAGGAGAAAAAAGAATAATACAGTATTCATTCACATATTTGTTATTTTGAAAAAAAATTATAAATACATTTCTAATGAGAATAAGCAAGAATTTTTCTTTTACACATAATTATTTTACCCATGACATACACAAAGAACTCAAATTAAGTGCAATTTATTTTGCACATAAAGAGTGTAGAAAATGACATGATTTATGATGGGTTGTTTCAAATTTTTTAGTGAAAAGTTTGCAGTTAAAAAAAAAGTTTGAGAAACACTGGACCAGAGTACCTGCATACATTTCCCTTGAAACTTAAGAACACAATATTTTTTGATTCTCTGGTCTAGTGCTCTAGAACTGCTTAGTTTAAGTACTAAAATTACCTATTTGAGATAATGTAAACTTCTGCACACTGGTTTTGATTTTAGCATATCTTTCTGCAGTGTTATCAAAAAGACTGAAAAAAAAAAAAAAGACAATTTATGAATTTGTTAAAAATTATAATTTTTCTGCAACAAATTGCTATATGAAATATAACACACAGAGTGGGGGAAAACATGAGAAATTAAAAAATTAAACAATGGAGGATTCAAATAAGACAACTTTAAGATCAAACAAAGAAGGACGACATAAAGATACACTTAGTTTTTAGCAGTGAATATAAAACAGGAAATCATTTTCCTACTTTTTCAGCAGTCACTATATCACTAAAAAATATTTTTACATAAGCTGGGAAAAATTCTAAAATTTCAATTTTATTTCACTATAAAAAATTATTTTAAATATGTAATACAAAACAAAATGTACCCACTGCACACAAAAGAATGTAAATATCATGTTTTTAAAATGGACTTAATATAATGAACAGCACATACAAAAACATAAGTATTCAAAACTAACCTTGGCTTACTAGTTTCATCAAAATAAAGGCCTGTAAACTCTGTATCAACAGCTGCAGAAATAATGGTAAATAGAATATGGATAAACATTAAACTGGCAAGTTATTTGCATTTACACTTAATTCCTTGTATTTGGTCTCAAAATCATCCACCTTAATGGAAATTGAATGTTTTAAAACTTATTTGCTGCATGATCTTCTGTTGGGATAACAGCAATATTTTTCTGATTTACTGCACAAGATTACTTATTATTATGCGTCTTTGAATGGAATTTAAACAGACCACAATTATGTTTATTTTAAGCTCTTTCCAGTGGTGTAAGACTTAAAGTTTAAGGTAGTCTAAGCAATCATCACAGAAGCCTTTGAAAGAAGCATCCCAACAAAAAATTTCAATGGAGATAATCCCCAATCAGTTTGGAATCTAATGGATCTTATTAAAGATCACCCATAAAAATACTGGCATTAGAGACCGACCGAATTTCGGCTTCGGCACCGAAAGTGTCCAGTTTATCACTTTCAGCCAAGTTTCGGTTTCTGCCGAAACTGAAAAGTTAACTTTCGGCTTAATTTCGGTTGAAATAGAAAGGTTAACATTTTTTTTTTTTTGTTTTGTTTCGGCCGAAATTGACTTAGACTTTTGGCCATCCGGCCAAAAGTGACTCAGGTTTTCAGTCATCTAATACTCAGTGAAAGCGATATTTAACAACAAACTAAGTGACATTTAAGAACAGGTTAAGCGATCTTTGAGAACAAACAAAACTATATTTAACAACAAACTAAGCGACATTTAAGAATAAACTAAACGATCTTTAAGAACAATCTAAGCGATCTTTAATAGCAAATTAAACAATCTTAAAGAACAAACTACATGATTTTTAAGAACGAACTAAATGATCTTAAAGAATAAATCGAATGATCTTTAATAGTAAACTAAATGATATATAAGAATAAATTAAACGATCTTTAACAGAAAACTAAATGTTCTTTAGGAATAAACTACAAGTTCTTTAAGAACAAACTAATCGATCTTAAGGAATGAATCAATTATCTTTAAGAACAAACTAAATGATTTTTAATAACAAACTAATAGATCTATAAAAACAAAGTAAATGATCTTTAAGAAAAACTAAGCGATATTTAAGAACAAAATCAATTATCTTTAAGAACAAACTAAGCGATGTTTATGAACAAACTAAACAAGCTTTTAATAACACAAACTAAGCGATCTTTAAGAAAAAACATAGCGATCTTTTTTGAAGAAACTAACCGATCTTTAAGAACAAATAAAGCGATCTATAAGAACAAATTAAGCGATCTTTGAGAACAAACTAAACGATATTTAAGAACAAACTAAGCGACATTTAAGAACAAACTAAGTGAACTTTAAAAACAAATTAAACGATCTTTAAGAATAAATTAAGCGGTCTTTTAAAACAAACTAAGTGATCTTTATGAACAAACTCACCAATCTTTAAGAACAAACTAACAGATCATTAACAAAAAATTGAACGATCTTTGACAACTAACTAAGTGATCTTTAAGAACAAATTTTGCGATCTTTAAGATTAATCTAAGCGATCTTTATGAACAAACTCACCGATCATTTACAACAAACTAAACGATCTTTAACAACAAACCAGGTGATCTTTATGAACAAACTAAGCGATCTTTAAGAACAAACTAAGCGGTCTTTAAGAACAAACTAAACGATCTTTAAAAAAAAATAAAGCGACCTTTAAGAACAAATAAAGCGATCTTTGAGAACCCTGATTAGAACAATTATTTACGTCACCAGCACAGAAAGACTATTGTGTTTTTACTAGGTTAAATATTTATACAGTGATATCTTGCAAGCTATTAATGAAAACACAAAGCATTAGTATTATGAAAACAGCGAAACATTCTGGTGATATTTTTATAGCCTTAATAACATATATTTAGGCGGCCATTGGCTCTATTAGAGCCACAATAATTATTGTACGTATATGTTCTAGGTTGTAATTATATTATAAAAGCAAAGGGCACTCGAGTCTATTTTGCATTAATTTTGCCCCCCCCCCCCCATTTTTGCCAAAATTTCTCATACCATACAAATTTTTAAAAATTGTAAAGCAATTTAAATTACTTTTATATTAAAATGGTAAAATCCAAAGTATTCGTAAGATCAAGGGTCTCAAACTCAAATCATCAGGGGGGCCACAGGAGATAGTGTTTGAGTGAGAGTGAGAGTATTCCACACAAAAAGCGATTACAACTGTTACAATCTGCTCAACCTTTATAAATCACAATAGAAACATTAAGGGTTCTCAAGAACTAGGATTCACTTTCTTCCACCTACTCACTGTTGCCAGAGACCTGGCAGCGCTTCTTTTTACACAGCTGAGCAACTTGGGCTTGAGTGAAGAAGCAATTAAGACTCCCAGTATAGCTTGAAGATCCTCATCAGTAAGTTTGGCCCTGAACTTTGACTTGTTAAAGTGCATAATGGAAAAGAGCTATTCACACAGATAGGTACTCCCAAAAAGTCATGTGTTCCGGTGGAACAACCTAAAAATTTCAGGGAAGGTGGAGGGCCATGCTTGTCTGTTTTTCCATTCAGCTCCCCGTGCGGGCATTTTGCACATTAAAGGAGAAAGGGTCAACAAAAAGCTGAAAAGTGGATGTCTGTGTTTTGAAGTCTTAAAATGTAGAGACCCAGACTGGGTAAAAAGGCATAAGAAGAAGATTTAGAAAGTTACCAAGCTGACAGGCTTGGAATTTACCTCACTCGTAAACACTCTTACCATTATAATCATCATAGAAAAATATATAGAAACATTTTAAAAAATCAGCATTAGACTAGTCGGTGAGATTCGACTGAAACCGTCGCGGAGAGTCACGTTAAATATATGAGAATGGGGGAAACACGCCAGCGCATTAACAATAAACATTTCTGTCATGTAGCGGGCCACAAAATATTGTCTTGTGAGTCAAAAATGGGTCATGAGACCCCTATATTAGATGTTTATTTATTAATATTCATGATTATCTCATTTTTTATAAAAAGAATGTAAATATTTATACTTTCCCCCATTATTTCCGATGTATGCAGAAAGTATGCGGGAACGAATTTCAAAATATCTAAATATTTCATTTTCGGTTTCGGCCAAAAGTCATCTTTAAATTTCGGCCTATTTTTGGTTTCGGCCGAAAGTCATTTTAAAACTTCCGGCCTATTTTCGGCTTCGACCGAAATCAGAAAATCACTTCTGGTCGGTCTCTAACTGGCATCACGGTCTGTCACTACATTTTACAATATATTTTTTAAAAGCTGCACTGAGTATTGGTACTGAGTTTAATTCTGGGCGCTCAACAATAGACATGATATTTTCGCTATGCCAAATGTCGCGAACAGCATATGCCTCTTTATATTGCCTTTATAGACTTGACCAAGGCATTTGACTTGGTAAGTCGAAGAGGCCTTTTCAGTATCTTGCAAAGAATAGGTTGTCCCCCACGACTGCTCACAATAATACAGTCATTTCACAAAAACATGCACAGCACAGTAACTTTCAATGGACCTGTCTCTGAGTCATTCCCAGTTAGCAGCGGAGTAAAACAGGGTTGTGTAATGGCACCAATGCTCTTTTCAATTTTCTTTTCGAGGCTCCTTTAATTTTCTTTCAGTGACTGTGAAAATGGAGTGTACGTCCATACAAGATCTGATGGAAGACTGTTCAATATCGCCCGCCTTCGTGCAAAGACCAAAGTAAAAAAAGGTGCTGATTCGTGAACTGCTGTTCGCTGATGATGCCGCCTTAACATCTCACACAGAAGAAGGTCTGCAGGGGCTGGTTAATCGCCTACCACATGCTTGTAAGGAGTTTGGTCTTTCGATTAGTCTACAGAAAACTCATGTAATGATGCAAGAAGCACCGTCCCCTCCAATTATATCTATTGAGGGTCATAATCTTTCGGTTGTTGATCATTTCATATACCTGGGATCCAATATTTCTAGTTCTCTCTCCGTTGATGAAGAGATAAATATCAAGATCGCAAAAGCAGCAGCAACTATGGCTAAACTGAATAAGCGGGTGTGGAATAATCTCAATCTAACTGATAAAAAAAAATAAGTGTCTATCAGGCATGCGTGCTCCTATATGGTAGCGAAGTGTGGACCACATATGCCAGTCAGGAGTGGAAACTCAACAGCTTCCATCAAAGATGTCTGCGTCGCATTTTGCGCATTCGTTGGCAGGACAGGGTGCCTAACGTGGAGGTTTTGGAACATGCACACATGTTTAGCATATTCTCCTTTCTTATCAAGAGATGCCTTCGCTGGTTAGGTCATGTACAGAGAATGGAGGAAGGACATATCCCAAAGATACTGCTGTATGGAGAGTTGGCAGAGGGGACAAGACATATTGGATGACCGCGCCTGAGATTTATTGAAGTTCTCAAACGAAGCATGAGGGAAGCCAATATTGAAACAAACGAATGGGAGTTCATTGCCGAACATCGCTCCAACTGGCGAACAGCAGTGTTTGAAGGAGTGAAAAAGGCAGAAGATACTTGAAACGAGGCCCTTGAATCAAAAAGAACAATTAGGAAATTTACCGGGATTCAATATTCTTCTGCGAGAGATGCGGCTGTGATTGCCATTCTAGGATTGGCCTAGTGAGCCACTCATCCAAGTGTAGAACTATATAGCTACTCCATCGTCTCACGAAGACGGAAGGATGCCATATATATATATATATATATATATATATATATATATATATATATATATATATATATATATATATATATATATATATATATATATATATATATATATATATCGTATATAAAATTGTAGACAAAAAATCCAGAAATTGAATAATATTTACATTTCTAATAGCTTATGTAATAAAATCAAACCCACATTCGTATATAAAATTGTAGACAAAAAATCCAGAAATTGAATAATATTTACATTTCTAATAGCTTATGTAATAAAATCAAACCCACATCAGAAAGTCTCCACATTTGACAACACATATCTCCAATTAATGTACATTACATGACCAATGTCTTTCTTCTGTGATCACCACCTGCAGGATCATGAGCATGGTATATACTAAAACAGTTCTTCGGATGCAAATATGGCTCTTCTGGGCAACCAGCAGAAAACAAAAATTGCTCCTGCTCTATTTTTGCAGGAATCAAGTACACCAAACAGTTCCAGTCTTTGTCTGTGTGATCTAAAATATGCTTAGCGCCTCATAAGTTTTAGTTTTTTTTCCTTCTTTGAAATTTGGGCTTAAGTTTAATGCTGTTCATGGTTACTACCTCTTGTGGACTGATGGATGCAGCCTGCTCAGTTGGCTTATGGATCAAATTATCTTTGAAGCTTATAATTGTCAAAGACTTCTCACCAGCATGACAGACGGTGTATAACATATGGGCGATTACCTGTCTAGTCTCTATTATTCAATTAAATATATTGAAAGCGGTCATAGTAAGACACCACCTGGTCACTACGGTCACATCCATTCATACACAGGTTGTGTCCCCGCACTACTTTTAACAATTTTACCTCTTTGACGTCTAAAGTATCTTATTAAAGATCACCCGTAAAATACTGGGATCATGGTCTGTCACTCCATCTAAACTGACATATTGCTGAAAACAACAATACATGTCTTTTTGGCTTTCTATCTCACCAAGCAATAATATATATATAGGACCTGTCACTAATTCTGTACCACCTAGCTTCCCAGCACTGAAGAGAAAAGGTCTTCCATTGAAGAAAGAAATTGTTCTTGTTGATGTCGACTGTGCCAGTGTTATCAATTCCTTTACTCAACAGATATGTAATTATGGTGTCAACAATGTAGTAACTATCTGCAAAAACATGGTGGATTTTTCCAATTCCTTGCAGAAGGTAATCAAATACCTTCACTGCCTGACATGTACAGTCAAATATGCTTTGTAAAAAGGTTGTGATATCATTAAAGAGTAGAATCACAAAATCCAAAGATCTTGTACTGTTTGTGCTTCCAGCATCCACTAGCACCTATTACCATTTCAAGAATGGCTAGATCTTGAAATGGATTAAATGAATATGGAACCTTGCTATTACTATTAATTACTTCAAGAATGGTTCTATAGCTTGTAAATTTTTTCAGCATAACACCTGATTGCACAACAGGATGTATTTGTGTGATGTGTGCTCCCAATAATCGTTCCCTGGTGGTATTTCATGGTATTAACATTGTGGTAATCACTGCTAAATATTTTAATACTGGTAGCTCAAATTCAGTGATAGGTTTCCGATTTGCAAGTGTACTATATTTTGTAAAGAACACTGCCTGGATTACTTCCCTTCTTGATAATCATTGATCATTAACTGACATCAATACTTTAATACATCTGGTGATATCAAGGTAAGCCAACAATCTTGTTCAGAGGAAGATATATTAAGTGTTACAGGCAGAGATGATACCCAAGATGGCCCCAAGGGATTAGTGCCTGTTGTTTCACGTTCAGTTACTTGATGTCACTGTTCTCTTTTTTGAGTTAAATCATTAACTGCATAATTTGGGAATCTACGGTCTGGTAAGCACACATTTTTTTATGGTGTCCAGGGTGTGCATCATCTTCTCTATCACTACTTGTGCAGTGAGTAATATTTATCCTGCCTTTATAAAAAATTACAGATTAAATTATTTTTAACCCGTCACTCTCCTCATCTTCACTAGACATTTCCACCATATAATGATGAAACAATTTTTTTTAGCATGTTCAGCATTTAGAAAAGGCCTACAAGTGTTTTTAGTAGCCTTATCGCTTGTTACAATAATTGTACAGTTTGATAATAAGCTTTAAAACTTAATAAATATTACAAAACTTCAAGTTTTGTAAGCCTGCTGCTGATAACAGCTCACTCCAATGTCAGGCAGGGCAGGCTAAGAAGTGGCATGCGCAGAAAGAGACATTTTGCCATATGAGTTCAACACATAAATGGATTGAGAATCCTATGCTGCCTCAACTTGGTAGCATAATAACGTAATGTCCCTCTCCACGTTCACAATAAGGGCAACCCTTAAACAAAGATTGCGGGTTTCCACCAACACTGATGTGCTAAAAACTGGTATGAAACACTGATCTAGAAACACTTTGATAAATAAATTCAAAAGATATAGTGTCAGTGTATCAACAATGACAATGTGGTTACACATATTTTTATCAGATTAAGTCTGTAAGCATCAAAATCACACCAGATCAATCAGTGGCAGCTGTAATCAATATATGGTTTCAGTGAAACACTGAACAAACTAATGGAATAGGTGTAATTTAGTGAGCGATATATTGGAAAGGGGGTAAAGTAACGTTCCAGGGATCAGAACAATTCCAACATTCAGTCAACTGCAAACACTCAGTCAACTGCAAACACTCAATCAACTGCAAACACTCAGTCAACTGCAAACACTCAGTCAACTGCAAACACTCAGTCAACTGCAAAGCCAATTGCATTTTGCAGACCTGCATCATGGCAGAGACCTAGCTTGATGTTTAATTGTTTGGGGACGGGGGGAGAGGAAGAGTAGGCGGCATGGACTACCACTAGCTACTAACAGAAGGCACTATACCCACAACTGTAGTGTTACTGTTAGTGTCCCTTTGTGTAGGGTAGACTGTGTTAGTCAGCTCAATTTAGTCTAAAACAGTGCTTTCCAAACTGTGTGTAGCCACATAGTAATGTGTTACTTGCAGTGTGTGGGTGTACCACATCAAAATATGCCACCATACCAAGATTCACACATTTTTTTAAAGTTGAAAAACCGCTGGAAATGAATTAAGAGGTTATGGACAAAGTGGTGCGAATGGTAAATTATATTAAAACCAGACCTCATCAGTCAAGAATATTTTGCCACTATTTCTGAAGAAGTGTGGTCAAAGTTTTAAAAAAAGTTATACTACACAAACAAATGTGTTTGCCCTGAGGAGGCTGGGTGCTTACATTTTGTAAGGAAAATAAGCAAAATGAATTTTGTGATCTAATTTAAAACAAACTTTGGACCCAATATTGGCATTTCTCGATCTTGCTAACACATATTTGAATATTGGAATAACATAAACATCATCATCAAATATCAGCTGTATATCAAATTTGTTCTATAGAATTGGGAGACAAGATAGTGATGTGGAAATAGATCGTGAAATTAGGAAAAATATCCCAAGATAGCTCATGCGAGCTAAAATGTAGTAGTTAGTAGTAGCTCTCTAATTATGGACCATTTGACACTGATCCAAGATAAAGTTCATCCCAACATCCAAAATGCTAAATTTATATGATAGGATCAGGAAGCCATTGCTTTCAACCAAGTGATGAATTTTTCACTTACTGAAGAATAATAATTGAATAAGCTGAAATGGACCATCCATAAATAACGTCACAAGTCGGGGGGGGGGGGTGTCACATTTTTGTGTCCGTGTGGGACAATTGGGGGGGGGGGGCCTTAAGCAATGTGGCTTCACATGAAAAGCGGAATATTATAGTAAAGAATGGCACTTTATAATCTCAATGAAATGTACCAACCCTAAATAACGTCACAAGGCGGGGGGGGGGGGTGTCACATTTTTGTGTCCGTGTGTGACAATTGGAGGAGGAGGGCCTTAAGCAATGTGGCATCACATGAAAAGCGGAATATTATAGTAAAGAATTGCACTTTATAATCTCAAATTACATAAATTTTAACATTAATCTTTTATATAATAATTATAAATATTTTATTTTTAAACTACAATCACTGAGAGAATCAGTACAGGGATGCGAAGTCAGAAAAATGGCCTCTGATCAAGTTACAGGCCGACAGCAAGGAGGAGCAAATGGATGTACTGACATTGACAGTCAAGAGAATTTATGTCAAAATATGGAGATGGGAGTCCTAGAATTAGGACTACCACCTGAAACAGGGTGGAATGAAAACAATGGTTGACGGGGGTGGGGTGTGAATCTTAGCATATGCTCTAGAACAGGGATTCTTAACCTTTTTGCAGCGCTGCAGGCCCACTCCTTTTTAAACATCCACCCCCCCCCCCCCCCAAACCATATAAAGTATATTTTTATAAAAAAATTAATTTAGTTTTCCTAGTTTTATTTCTTTAATTAACTTTTTATAAAAAAATAAAACATTTATCAATACAAGTAATGCACAAACAAAATTCACTAGAAAAACATTCACTGCTGCTAATCAAAATGCATAAAATCTTATTTAAAATAAAAAAAAGCAGTTACAGCTTGCAATGGCAGCAAATACAATTTTCTGATCTACCGCACCTCAGAGCTGGGGAGGTACTTTTACCACTGGCTAAGAACCACTGTTATAAGTGAAATGTTTCTGACACAGTCAGAAATGCAGTAATTCAACATCCATGGGAGGTGAACTTCTTAAGGTTTCGTAAAGGACAGTAGTGGACACAGGGTATTTTATAAGGGGGCGTGCAGAGAATACTAATGTTATATTTGAACGGGGGGGGGGTGGGGGGGTGGGGGGGGTCTGACGATTTGTGACGATGGGGGCCGGGGTCAAAAGCTGCAAAATTTGTGGATGTCATTTGGGAATTTATGGATGGCCCCAAATAAAATAATGGGAATCTGTCAAAAAGATTAATTAAGAGTGTGATTTAGCACTTAAAATTTTTTTTTTCAAAATTGCATCCAAAATATAAATAATTGATAGTTTTCTTTTAATGAGACATCATGTTCATACAACAAGCGAACGGCAACGGACGGGGGAAAAAAAAAAAATACTGAAAAATAGTAACAATCAATGAACGACAGTAACAGTACAGTAAAGTAATTGTTACCTATAAAATCAGCTGAATTAATTGAGTACTCAATCTGTGGCAGAAAAGCGTCAAAGTTATGCCGTGTTACTTCAACCATTTTGACTACATAAAGCTTAAATTCTTAGCCTTTATTTAATTTTAGGATAAATCGCCAACTGCGTCAATTTTTTTTTCTCTCTCTCGATTTTTAAAATTTTCTTTACTTTATTCGTTTACATGAGTATATTTTTTTAATTTTTCGTGTTATCATTGTAAACACTTAAAAGAAATAAAAATAATAAATAATCAAACAAAAAATTTATCTAAATTTCAAGTTTTACCAATTTAAATTTATTACCAACATTTTTTACACAATTAATTTCAATTATAATTATTTATGAAAATATAATTTTCATCTTATCTGTAGTATTATAATATGAACATTGATTGGCCCTCAACCGGAAGTTTCTTGGTTGCTACTTACGCTTAGGCATAGCGTCTGAACTTGTACAAATGTTTATACATTTTTGTTCCAACGTCTAAATTGTTAGTATTGGTGATTTTTTTTTTAGGTTATGAATTGTTACTTTCAACGGAAAAACTTTTAAAACGTGGATTTAAAGTACTTTACTCAGTTTTTTTTGTTTTTTTACAACAGCCATGGGGTCAAAGAAACCAACAGTCAACAGAAGCGGGATGGGGCAAAATAAAACCAAGAAGGAAAACTAAAAGAAAGGCGTCCCCAAAAGCTGAACATATTAATATTATTAATAGTAGCCTATACTATAATTAATAATATAGATGGATAGGTAGATTAGTTTTGAATCAAAATCACTATTCAACACCATGGGGGATGACATGCAAATCAATATCATTCTTGCACTTGTAGGTGAACCACAACCAGAGAACATTATTGTTATTGTTACTATGCAGTGGTGTAGCGAGACATTGTACAACCAGGGGCAGACTTTGAGTCCCACCCCCTCCAAAAATCCACAACAAAACACAGGCTAAAATGCAATTAGCAGCAGGGCTGATGATACCTTCCATGGTAAATAGGTCATGGTCAAGTACTGGCCATAGTATCGTTTTTCAAAAGATTTCAAAATTTAGCTTTGTATTTATTTGATGTGTTTTTTTTCTCATTTTTTAAAAAAAATTTCATCTTGAAAGAGGGGGAACGGTTTCTTCTTCTATATCTTAAGGGCAAACGATCAATTTATTGATCATTTTGGCTCCTATGCATGTAGACTAGATGGGATTTGCAATGTTTCTGTGCCTGGTGTTGATGAGGAAATTTCACTGATTTCCAGTGCCACTTTGTGAGGGAATCATGCACTAGGGGTTTGAAGGCTTGAGGCAATAGACACAAATGTGTCTAGTGTTGTTGCCTCAACCGTTACTTTTGAAAGCTTGTTCCAGTCCCTGATTGTCTTGGGCAGGAATGAGCAGCTCCTATAATGGCTTCTCACTGGTATGAGCCTGAATTGCCTGTCATGGCCTCGTCGCTGTCTATGGGGGAGAAGGACGAGTTTCTGTTTAATACTGGAAAAGTGGACCAGCCCATTATTTATCTTGTACATCATGGAGAGCCTGGATTGTCGTCGTCGTTCCTCCTATGGTGACCAGCCTAGTGTTTCCAGCATGCTGCCAACACTAGAGGTATTCCTGTAGTGGTTTAGGAAAAAGCGTGCTGCCCGTGGCTGGACCGCCTCCAACTTGTCAATGCTCTTCTGGGTAAATGGGTCCCAGAATGAAGATGCATAATCATAATCTAAAACCGGACGGACAAAGGCTTTACCTCCTTAGAGAATTATGTTCAAATTTCCTGTTAAATTGCAACCTTATATAAATGAATAGCATACAGGTATTTCTTTTTTAAGTTAACCAATAAAAAAATAGCACTTTTAACCATGCACACATATTTTTTCCAGTGTTCATCTTTGGGTATCAGCAAGGATGAATTTTTCTGTTTATTAATTTTGAGCCTTGTAAGTTGAATTTTAATAAAAAACCGAAGGAACATTTGCTTTAAATTATTTCATATTAACTTATTTCATATTATCTGTATCAATCTTTAGATTATGCTTTTGACGTGAATAAGGCTCAGTGAAAACTGGGAATTTATCATTCTCATCGTTCAGGTCCAACTGTTGGTCCTGTTACCCTAAGTCCAGTTTTGGGATTCCCAAAAGTGATGTCACCGTGGTTAGTGTGAGACAACTATTGGCAAAACCCATGCCGCTAACTGCGGGAGGGGTGAGATATCAAGAATGAAAGCTAACAAAGGCTTCTGAACCAAGCCAAAGTGCGGGCAGAAGTCTGGGAGGGGGCTATTTGAGCCTCAGTCCTGGCATACTACAATCACTATCTATGGACAATGTGTCCATATCTTGACTGTACCCAGAGTCTTAAACACCTTAAATTTAAATAGACCATGCATTATTTACTTGACTAATAAACACTGGCATCAAAGAAGATTTTAAAATGCTGTAGTTTGCTAATCTAAAGTCATATGATCACTTTCTGAAATTACATTGCCATTGGGAATAAAAAGGAGAAAATATATTAGTTTTTACCTCATTTAAAAAAAGGTAATTTGCTGATTGCTGAAATAAAATGTTATGGCCCAAATTTAGAATAATAAGAGTTTTCAGAATCATCAAGTTAAAAACTATCAATGTCAAACAAACTTACATAACGGTTGGCTGGTATCCAGGGATGAAAATATTTTTTAAAAAATTAAAAAAAATTGTACAATTTATTTCATAAGTATTACTGCAAGCAAATAAAGAATAAAAATCAAAGAAAAATATACCAAGATTTTTTATTTAATTCTACATCTCATTAGCCTTTAAACTTTAAAAAAAAAAATAATAAAATAAGACATATAAGGATTTTAGGGAATTTCTAGACCTTGTCTGCTTTATAAAATTTACTGAGTACTCTGAAAACATCATGTATAATTTAATAAACAGTCATACACCAATATGTCAACACAAAGACGCTCCAGCAGACCCACTTCTGCTGCCTCCTATGCTAGCCGTGTGGGTCAAACTGACAATGAGCTCAAGCTTGAATGTCGTGCTGCTTTTTTAGGACATTATGATGACATTAGAGAAAAGATTGAATCCAAAGAGAACTTAATACTGTGTGAGTTAATATTATTTTTTAGTTCAATAAAATTATATTTTAATTCAAAAGTTAAAGTGTGATTTGTTCTTTGAAAATAAATACTAGAACAAGATATCTTTAGGCTTGAAAATAAAAGACAATTAAGTGTACATTCTTCAGCAGACATTAAAATACAATAAACAACAAATCAATTGTAATTAAAAAATAAAACTTTGGTTTATGAAGAGCTCAATAAAGTCAATTAAGCTCAATGTATAGAAGTCTGGTATTTGCAGAGTTAATTATCTTGATAATTATTATTGCATATTATTTTGTATTGAAGTATTGCAAGAAACAGGACGCAATCCAACAGCTAAGACTATCTCCAAGTACTGGACTTCGAAAATAGGTGATATAATTCTTTGCTGTTATTATCAAAATGATTTTTTAAAAATTATGGCACATCACGGTATACTTCATTTTGACATGTTGATCTTTAAAATATAATGATAACATGGAGCTTTAGTTATGAATTAATTTGTACACATGAAATTGTAACATAAATAAGCAAAACAATGTTAAAAAATTTAACATTTTTATCCAAAGCGATTAAAAAAGTTAAAGTTTTACCATGGCCACTGATAATATGAAATAAAACTATAATTTTTAAATAAAGCCCTTCTATTTCAATGTTCATTGAATTCCTGTTCATAAATGAATATTTAGACATTTCTCTGATACCAGTATCAACATCATTTTTATTCTCACTGTTTATAGCAAAGTGCTTACACTTGTTAATTTACTATTTTCATTGTCTGTCTTTTCAAGATATAATTCATTCACAACTTCTCTCTTGAGATATTTTATTTACACATTAAATAAAATATGATTTTCAAAACATTTTTGCATGTTTTCAGAGAGTATGACATTTGATGATTTTGTGGATGTTTGTAGCAGAGAGCCGGTGACCACAGAGGAGGATTTGATGAAAGCTTTCCGTAAAATTGACATCAATGGTGATGGTTACATTTCTTTAGATGAACTATTAAAAATCATGACAACAGTAAGTTACAAATACATTTGTATTCTATACCCATTATTGTCATGTAGTTTCCTTATGGGCCCAAGGTGTTGGTTGAGGGGGTAGTTAACTAACCCTTGAGCACAGGAACAAAAAATAAATGTCACTTTTATCAAAACATTTTTTTTTATAGGAATGGATTTTGTATGATCCAAAGACAATTAATGAATTAAAATTAAATGCTAATCTTAATTTTAAAGCAACAGTCAGGTGCTATTAAGATTCCCTACAAAGATATCAACAGACCTGTTTACCCTCAAACTCTTAAAATCGTACAAAATCATCACAAAATCTTTCAATACATTATCTTAACAGTAAAAAAACCATGCAGTATATATAATGTGTACACCTGAAAATCATACATTGTATGCCAAAATCGTAAGAGTAAACAGGTCTGTATCAATGTCATAAATGGACATACAGTGGACATTTATATAATCTTTTCTTATCAATATTTTTTTGGTAAAAACTCCATAATGCATACTGTAAAGTTATTACTTTAGAAACTCATTTATTAATTTCCTGTAAATATTACTAGGAACTAGGATTGCTTAAGAGCCATTTTCTGAGCTCTGCCTCACTTTATCATATTGTATATTTGTAGGGTATATTATCTTTGGAAACATTTCTGTGAACAATGATGGCAAGTAGCTTGCTGGTGCTATTTAACCAATGCTATATTAATAGCATTAATTTTTTTGTTTTCTGTTCCAGAGTTCATTAGAATAAATATTTAAAGTAAAGCTAAGAACTGTATTCATATGTTTTCACACAGAGAGGAGAAAAAATGTCAAGGGCAGAGGTGAAGGAACTAATTGATGAGGTTGATGAAAACAAGGATGGAAAGCTGGACTACAAAGAGGTAAAGGTTACTGTCATAACATTTGACTTAATTAAAGCTTTTAAAATTAGTAAGAATAATTTGATGGGATTTAAAGTTGTTTGTTCAAATACAAATAATCCTAACGATGATATGTGAATTAATTTCTTGCATCCCATTTTTTGCCACAAAAAATGTAATCTTGGAACTGCTGCTTCTCCTGTTTAGAGGAATATATTTGACTATGGCAAGGTGAATTCCTCATTTAGTTCCGTGTCCCTTAGTCTGTTCAGTATAAGCCAAATTTCTGTATGTAATTAATTTTGTGAGAAGATGTGCCTTGTTCTAATACTGTTAAAAGGCTTTGCGATGAAAGCAATGGACTTGGTGATTTATGCTTCACAAGAAAATGTATGAACTATAACATTTGTTTAATAGAAATACGAAGACAAAAAATCCTATTAAATGAAAAAACTTTGGGTCAAGAATATTTTTGACCAATAAAGCAAAGCTTGTTGTAAAGAGTCATGCAGCTTATGAAAGAACTACAGTTTATTGAGACGAGTAAATGCTGTCAGCAGTCCTGGAACAAAAAATACCAGCACTACAGTTATTTATTGTGCATTTATTTACATGTGTAGTTGTCATTGTCTGATGAATACAATGCTACAGCACCACTCATAATTTCTGTCATCTTTGTTTATTCCTCACATATGCAAGGATGCTAGATTAGGCGATTTATTGTGAATTGATCTATGTTCATATGGTTTTGACAACAAAAGTTACTTTGAACGTTTTTGTGACTTTCTGGTAATTTTAAAGTTTTTCTCATATTTTTTGTAACTCTACTGCTTCAAATTTTCAAGCAAACTAAAAATGATAGTCAGTAAGGACTTTTTGTTGTATAAATAATCTATTATTGTCATCTTTGATGTTTTATATCAAAGGAGCCCACCATATTTCAAGACCAACCCACTAAATACATCCCCCAAGAGGTTGAACACATTTTTTGAAAACAATTTGTTATACATCATTAACTATATTATAGGAACTTTAGGGTTTCAATTTTCATTGACACATTAATTTTACATTTTAAAATTTTCATTCATTGTCATTAATTTCAGTCAAATGGCTCCTTGTAATGTTGAATTTTTGTTGGGAATGTCTAAAGTTATCTAGATCAGGATCCTTGCTATATGTGACTTTTTTAATTTAGTCTAGAACTCTAGATTGTTGGTTGATGATGTTTATGTTGTTTTGTTCAGTCGATATTTTCCCCCTATTATTATCTATAGCAGAAATCCATTTTATTTCATAATTTGAACTATGTACAGTTTGCTGATTAGCATTTTCACTGTCTTGCATAAGCTTTCACATTAAGCTAAGAAATCTCTTCGACCACTTAGCCTTAATACTTTGAGAAACTTGATGAAGAAACTAAAATTAGCATTGGTTCCATATATTATGTAACTTCTGCATTAATGTTTAAATATAATTCTGATATTTCATAGTATTAAAAAATAAATAACAATTTGAGGACACTGAAGATTTGAATTGCAATCATTTAAACTTTATATGTAATTTTACACATGCAGTACAAACTAGGAAAGTGGATCATTAAATAAAGTCATTTGAATTCATATTAATAGTTTAAATTTTTACAAATAAATTGCACAAAATGATTTACCAAATGCTTTATTACAGACCAATTTTAAGTAACACCAAAAAAAAACTCAGATTCCCTGGACTGAAAGCAATAAGTGAAATGTAATCAAAACACATTATTTGGATCAATAAAATCATCTTACCTTATCATATCTTATTATATCTTATAGTAAACAGAAGTATGGTACAATTTTAGCTATAATGTATTTAAAAATTTTCTGGTGCTTTCTAACTGCCCCCCCCCCCCCTGCCAACTTTTTTTCAAGCTCAAGTGTGTCATTCTTTTTAAATTTTTGGTTTCTGACAGTTGATGCATCTTTGTAAATTATGAAATGATTAATGCCACAAAATCTTCAATTTATTGTGTAAATGAAAATTCTCATCCCATGCTTAAAATCTCTTTGTAGTAAGTTAATAAAACACTAATTGACTAATTGAACTGAAAAGATAATTTATTTAGAAATAAAATTAATGGTACTCATAATGAGAGCAGTAAAATTAATGTCATAAATGATGAGGATTTTATTTTTGTTTTCATTAGTTTGCACAAATGGTTCTGACCACTACTAAAGAATACAAGAAACTTGCACTGAAGAGCTTGGAGAAAAAGGAGAAACTCAAGAGGAGAGATGGAGATGTCACACCAAGAAGAGGTAACAGTTAAAAAAAAAATATATTGTTGGGCTCTGCGTGGCCAACCTTTGCCATCGTATAAATTTTCATCAGTTACATGGTTACTTTTTAAATTACAGTTCCCTCTGCCAGATCAGCATAAACTTGTTTTAAGCAAGTTTCTAGATCTTTCCTTTCTGTGCTCAATATTTAATTATATATTTTCTTCATTTTCATTTTGTACACTATATGTATACATTTTTTTTCTTAATTGCATTGAAAATCATCATTATCTCCATTATTAGCAATTAGTTTTTTAATTTATTTGTCTTAAGATGAAAGTTGTTGTTACACTAAAGACTTTATCTATTTTTATTTAAAGTATATTTGTATTTGACTTAGACTAGACATCTATCAATATATTTTTTATAGTGATTTTGCATAAATCTTGGCATTAGAAAAAAATAAATAAAAAAGCTTTTTTTCTGAAATAATTTATACATAAAAATGAAAATGTTTTTAATACTTTAAATTATTCAGTAATTAATATTTTTGATTTAAAAATGTTTAACTAGTTTACAAATTTGTGTTTCTGCGATTAGATGAAGATTATCATGGTAAATACTTTCAAAATTTTTTTTGGTGTTGAAGTTATGATTGGAAATGACAATCTTTAAACATGATCAGTAATTATGATTATTAAATAAAAATGTGAAAAATTTCTAGAAATTATTTTTTTTTTAAATTTGAAGTTGTTAATTAGCTGAAGCTATGATGGACAATTTAACAAGAAGACACCATCAAATTGAATTCTAATTGATAATTTTAAAATCTGTTAATGTACAAAATAACGAAAACATTATATCCATCAGACATGGATGATCTGTCTCTGGGCTCTCAGTTGTCTATTCAGTCATCATCATCTGACATGAGACGTAAGACAGGAGTGAAATGCTTTTAACCCTTTCCCTCCCAAAGCCTCCCATCACAACATCCATATTAAAATGTTACAATATTTCTTAATTGAAGCTTTAATGATATTAAAATATATATTTAAGAGAGTGTATTCAAAATACTCATACATACAAAATAATAATAACAGTGGCTAAAACATATGAAAGTACTTAACTTTTGGGTGAAACTTATTTTACAAAAAATTTTAAAGAAATATTTTAATGTAAAAAAATCATTAAATTTTTTATAAGTAAATATAGGTAAAAAGATAAATTCATCCTAATGGTGCCTTTAAAGAGAAAAATCTAAAAACAACTCTAGAAGTACACTCACAACATGTTCCTATTCTATTTATGTTGTTAATAAAGATTATTGACAATGTTAGTTTGATACATGCCTTCCCCATCTTAAATTGTCCTTTGGTGCTAGAGCTTTTATTTATTTTAATATTTATTCACTAACTATGCATGGGGATAAAGTTAGCTTATTTTTTTAACATAATATAACCAACCATAGAGTTCATTTCAATATCTAATCTGATCTATCATTAAAAGCTATATAAGTCACTGCAACAATAATTATTACAATCTCTTGAAATGCTAAATAAATACTGCAAATATTTTGCTTTTTAGAATTAAAAGAAAAGATGAGGTGCTTTGCAATATACTCTTGTTTTGCAAGATAAGCTATTAGTTTTCAAATGAAGATAGGTTCTTTGGAATAATGAGGTCTTTATTTTTATTTTTTTATTATACAAAAAAACCCCCAACAAACCCATTCCAGTTACAGATTTATAATTTTGTCATTTTTATGGCTTTTATTGATGCTTTGTAAATATTTATTTGCTGAAAATTTGCAACAATATTTACATTAAGTCCATACTTGCAAATTTAATTTATGATAATGTATCTTAACAATAACATTTGAATACAATTATTACGTGTTGAGTGGACACTTGTATATTAAACTGGTTGTAAAAGTGTAGTTAGCGTCATGGGTTTTTGCCAAGAGTTGTCTCACCTTAAGCGCAGTACACCACTTTGTGGAATCCCAAATCTGGACTTAGGGTACATAGACCAATACTTGGTTCTGAACGATGTGCATGATATCTTTCCTGTTCTTCACTGAGCATTTTTTGCGTAAATCTTATGATTGCTAAAGTTAATATGAAGAACATTAAAAGGAAAATTTCCATTTGTTTTATCAAAATTCAACTTGCGAGGTTCTAAAAGAAATTTAAATAATAAGAACATCATCCTTGCTGCTACCCCAAGACAAACACCAGAAAAATATGCGCAAATCATTAAAAAAAATACAGTTTTTTGATTGGTTGAAAAAAGAATTACCCATATGCTATTCAGAATTCATTTCCATTATTATGTCATCATATCTTGGGACATATCAACTTAATTTTATGGGAAAGGTAGACCCCTCGCCAAATCCCCCCCCCCCCCCCCCCTTTTTTTTTTCTCACCTTTTTGAGACAAAAAGGAAAATGAAAAAAGAAAACCTTTTAATCACATAAATCCAGAGCTAAAAATCAAAATCTTTTGAATATGGAACTCTGGTTGGTAGTTTACCTGGGGAACCTCCATGACTTATATAGTATGGAAGACATTGCTGGTTCTGCCACTAACTGCATTTTAGCCCAAAATTGATTATTATATAGTTTTAATATAACAATTATCTATATGCTTTGCCTACCAAAATAATTGTCATGCTTAAACTTTTAATCCAGGGGTCTCAAACTCGCAGCCCGCAGGCCATTTGCAGCCTGCAAGATGATATTTGCGGCCTGCTACTTGACAGCAATGTTTAGTGTAAATGCGGCCAGCGTGTTTTCCCCCATTCTCATATCTATAATGGGACTTTACGTGATGGTTTCAGTTGAATCTCGGCGACTAGTCTAATTCTGATTTACATTATGTTTGTACCAGTTTTGACGTTAATTATAATGGTAAAACTGTTTTAAAAAAGACTAAAGTCTTTTATTTTATAAGCATTGTATGAGACAAACATCGCCAAAATGTGGTTTTGAGAAAACATGCTTTAAATATTGTATATCCATATATCAAAAGTTTAAAAAGTCAGTTAGTGGGTAATGCAGAGCCATAATTGTGTAAATTGTAGCAATCTGTCTCAGCATCAAAGAATTCCTATTAAAATTGTGGCTAGTGTGTACGAGTGACCAGTGAGGGAAATTCCGATCCTGTCAGCTTAGGTCACTTTCAAAATTGTGTGAGTCAAAAATGCCTTTTCAGCAATAAAAAAATCAAAATTCATTCTCTGTACAATAGCATCTTCCTTTGCATCAATAATTCATAAATATGTCTTGCTCATGCCTTCTTTTTGAAAATGTTTCAATTTTAAAATCGCCTTTGGGAATCGCCATATTTTTATTTAAATTTATTATTTTTCGTCTCACCAGAAGCTCATTATTTTCATAGCATTTCTTAGCTGAATACTTTACTTTAGATCACTGGGAATTTTATTTTCTATCTAAGGATAAAATGCCATTAACAATGTAACGCAATGCGACTGCCTAGTTCTTGAGAACCCTTGATGTTTTTATTTGTTAGTAACAAAGATTAGGCAGATTGTAACAGTTGTACTTTAGTGAATTTGTAATCGCTTTTTTTGTGGAATACTTGATGAGGCCCAGTTTCACTCAGACTTTACCTCAAGCGGCCTCCGGATAATTTGAGTTTGAGACCCCTGTTTTAATCTAAAAACTTTTCTGTTTCTCCAGAAAAATAAAAAATAGACAAAAATAAATATTAAGCACAAAATTTTATTCAAAGACATGTATCATTGAAATGCAATGGTCATGAAATTCTATTGATTTGGTCTCAGTTTTATTCTGTTCTAAAATGTCTAATACAGAATGTGTACAGATTTAATTATATTCTTAATTTGCAGACTTTTAAGAAAAAAACAAAAACCAAATATTTTCATTTTAAAGAATCTTTTCTAATGTTAAATTTACAATACATGTGTTGAAATTTAACAGTAATAAAATTTTCCATTTATTTTTACAATGATTATTCTTAATATTAATTTAAAAATAATTATTTATATTACAGAGATTAATATTAAATAAATGTCTAATCTCTTTGATTGATGTTTATTGAAAAAAAATATATCAACCTTTTCAATTGTTTTACATGTTTGAAACACTTTGATCAGTGGGCTTAAAATTGAATTGCCACTGGATATACATTTGTCTGACCAGTACATTTATTGCAGGCTTAAGTCCAGATTCCAGCCCTGAACCCAGCCCTGATCGTCGTGTATCAAAGCATTCTATAAAAAATGGTACATGTGATCTGGTTGGGATTATGTTTCTGTTATTATGTTGCATATAAATTGTGTCCTTCAGATATTTGTAAAATAGTCACAATGAAATAAACTTTCACTAAGGCAAAAAATTGTTATTCACACATTATTTCTTCAGTAAGTTAGAAAGAATCAAGTCAAAATTAAAAATTATCACATTATAGAAAGTCTAAAACATGTCAGTCATTATTAATTATTTTATGAGCTTTTAGGCCTTATCAATGATCCTATTTTTCTAAAGTTCATCCATTTGTGATTTGATTTACAATTTATATTCTCTTACATCTGTCTCTAAAATTCCTCAAATATATGAAAAATGTTTTTTTTTTTTTTTAAAAACTTTTAAACTTCGTTATTGATCTGTTAAAAAAAAATTATTCTTTTACAAAAAAGACATTACAATGAAAAGAAAAGTGAATTATGTATTCTTTGCATGTTTAAGAAAAGCCTATTTGTTTATTTATGTTCCAATTTTTTTTTTCAGCTAACTCACAAGAAAGAAGATTATCTAAGCAATCGATTTCAGGAAGTGGTCTTGATGGTATTACTTTATTTTTCATTACTTTGTTGTTTAGTAGGTCCCCCATCATGTCCCCTAGAATTTAAGTGTTTAAATAAATCCTTAGTATAAATCTAAAAGCATTTCAGAGATACATTAGCATATTGGGTTATAAGGTTTGATTTGGGGATGAATTTTGAAAAAAGAAGTCATGTTACATTTTATTACACTTTATCCAACAGTAGCCCGTCGTTTTGGATCAATTTTGTAATATATATATCTATATATGGATTCCCAGATTCTTTAAGAACTTAATAGTTAAAGAAATATTAAGATATATAGAACTTTATAATCCAGTGTTCATCACCCAATTCACATAAATATGTTTAGTATGAATTTAGGCCATTCTTTAAAGCCTAATAATATAATATTGATATGTTCAGTTTCTAAAAATATTATTGATATTTAAAACCAACCTGTTTCAGATGTGATATCTGTTCGCAGTGAGCGAAGACTTTCTACTCGCAGCCATTTGACAAATGGTATTTATATTCTGATTATACCAATTTCCAAATTGTTCAATTATATTTAAATATGTTGTGTTCTATGATAATGACATTTTTAATTACTCTTTAAAAGTATCCTTCACGATATAAGCCATCATAAGGGGGTAATTATAGTTAAATAAAATTTACAAATTGTATGTTTCACTATTAACCCATTCCTCCCTAGCATATTCTTTAATGTAAAACCTCTCTTATGTCTTAGTATAGGGCAGTGGTTCTCAACCTTCTTAATACCGTGACCCCTTAATGCAGTTCCTCTTGTTGTGGCGACCCCCAACCACAAAATTATGTTCGTTGCTACTTCATAATGGTAGATTATGTGTGCTTGGCGATGGTCTAATGCGACCCCTGAGAAAAGGTTATTCGACCCCCAAAGGGGTCACGACCCACAGATTGAGAACCGCTGGTATAGGGTCATACGAAATCCATTTATACATGCTTAAAATAATAAAGCAAATAAATTTGAATCTATATTCTTTTCTCCTATGTTCTTTTTTAAGTGTATATAATTTTCAATTTTCGGTACATACATCTTTTAGGTGAACAAAACAGACAAGTAAGACATAATAAACCCCAATAAGTAATATATTAATGTCGACGTTTTATATTAATATATTACTGAAATCTGTAGTTGCAGATTTGTTTTTATTGTATGCTGCAGTTTTGATGTTATGGAACTTTTTACCACTACATTATTCCAGATGATACACTGAAGTCTTCACCTCGACCTGGTAAAGATGCTAGACCAAAGTCTGCATCTAAAGGAGGTCGTGAACCAAGTAATTTACATGTAAGTAAAACTTCATATTATCAAATTCCCTTATGAAAATACTTTAATATATAAAATCCAGGAGTTCTTTGTCACATAAATAATTTTTAGTTAGAAAAATTGTCATTTTATTTCTCTCATTTATTGCAAAATATTATCTGAGAGATCAAATAAAAAACAAGTTTTTTAAAGCACTTTGAATATGAATTCTTTCTATGAAATTGTTGTCAAATTTTCTAAACCACAGGAATGGACATCCATACATTCCAAAGGCTCTTTCTTTCTTGATGAGGAGTCAATTATCAGCCACTACTATAATCTTAAGCTGACAGAGGATACTGATGCATTGATAACAATACAACCTCTCAAGATTGGAGAGTCAGGTCTGTCGTTGATATTTTTATTGCTGCTAGAAAAATAATAGTTATTAATTATTTAGCATGGATTGGATAATATTGGTTATTTATTAAATATGGGATGATATAAATGACTTTAATGCTGATAAAAAGCTGTGTTTAATACTTTCTTTTATATTTGGTATTCAAATAAAAAAATTTCTCTTGGAAAACCACCAGAAACCCTTAAAATTGTGAACCAAAAAATACATAGGATAAAATGATGTATAAAGCTCAGACACACTAGACTAACCCCATCTACTGACATTGCAGTTCACTATACAAAAATGTATTGACTACATTCTGCCATTCTAGATGATACCTGTGTAGCTATGAACCATCTCAGTAATTACTTATTTTGGTAACAAGAATTTTTTGGCTGTTGGTTATAGATTCAAATTATAAGTCATGGCAAAATTGTATTTTCAGCTGCTGAGAAATAACGTTTCTTTTCTTTTTTAAAGTTATAGAAGAGTTATGTTGTTTTGGGTTTGAATTAAAAATAAATGTTTCTCAACCTTAAGTTGGTTAGTCCTTACCAATGAATTTATTCCATAGGAGTATCCCTGGATGGCACTGTGGTTGATACAGCTTTGTTCATACTCAACAAAGAAAACAATTCTTTTGTGGCATTTACTGATTCCAAAGACAGCAAAGGGGTAAAATATTTGATGACTTCATGTATAGATGATGTGTTAAATTTAAGCCAGATGATGAAATGCATTATAAGTACTGTAATAAATGAAAGCTTTAATATTAGATTATATATGATGTCTTAGATGATAGAGGATGTAGTAAATCAAGTTTTGAAACATTGTACTAAGCTTCTACAATTTTGTCAAGTATGAAGAGATTCTGTAAAAACAAAAAAAAAATTGTCTCCAAGAACCAAACAAGGTCATCCGCCTAAAAATAGCTTATTATTATTATTATTATAAATGTTTAGCTTTCATTGAAACTAGCTTTTTGTTTTTTGGAAATAATTCCCTCAAATCTTTAAAAAGAAAAAAAAACAAACAAACTACTCTTTTTCTGTCACAAGTTAATTTTTGTCCCTTACTTGCAGAAATACAGTGTGCACACAAGCTTATCCAAGGGCAGTTATCTGTTGATCCCATTCACCACAGGATGTAGACTCAAGTCAAAGACGCAAACTGGAATCAAGGAAGCCAAACTGATCACCAAAGATAAAGATGACAAAATTGTACTCACCAGAGCTTTTAAGTAAATACTTTTTCTAGTGAACCTGCCAAATGTTCATTGGAATATGTCTATCCAGTCCATTGTTATAGAAAATACATTTTCCTTTTAAAAAAAATCAATCAAATCTTAATAAAACTGTGCCGGAGTTAGGAGAAATAATTGAGCTTAAAGATAAACAGGTCAAAGAAAAAAAAATAATGACTTAAGTTACAATACTTTAACCATTGGTAATGAATCATAAGTACCGTATCAAATACACTTTTGCACATAGTTTTAAAAAAAAACTACTGTCTTCGGTTTTAATGCTCATTGTAGAATGTCTGAAAATAAAAAGACTTTGTAACCTCATCATTCAAATTATTTTTACCAGTGATTTATTAAGATCCCTAAATTGGAGTCAGAGTTTTTAATTCTTGTTTCTAGCTGGGAAGTTTTTCTTACATGTAAACTCAGAACTAAGATCTAGATGTGAAACATTCTTATTTAAATTCATAGACATTGGAGGATATTTTTGAAATGGCTTGCTTACAAGTACAAGTAAACTCAGACATTTAAAACTAAGACTAAGAGCTAGATGTGAAACATGCTTATTTGTATTCACAGGAAGGCATTGGAGGATATTTTTGAAATGGCTGACCTTGATGGTAATGGCCTACTGAGCAGAGAGGAATTTAATTGGTACAATTTGCGCACCAGTGGAGAGGAAGTGGCTGATGAAGAGTGGCAAGTTGTGGAAGGTGAGTTATCTTTGCTGTAAATCCATAACTTCAATTAAATCAGACAACAAGTTGTCCTAGTAAAAAAAGATTGTTTCTTTAAGGAGGTTACACAGTTGGCAAAAATGTATAATTTCTGAAACACTCAATTCAGCCAAAACTGTTGCCGTATAATTTTTTTTTACCTCTCCAGATAACATCGAACTGGAAAGAGGGGAGATAACTCGACCTGGCTTCATCAAGCTCAATGAGATGGAAGCTGATGATAATGATGGGGACACTGATGACCTTTGGATAACATTGACAACAATGGGTTTCACCAAATCCCTCCTTCTAGATGAGGTTAACTTCCATCTGGTTTTATTCTAAAAATATTTAGTCTCGTGTGTCTCATTATTTGACCATTTGAAACTTTGTAATCCATTTTAATTGTATTGGGTGCCAACTGGTTTTGTTCTTCGATCAATAATGAGCTACATTAAGCATATGTAACTATTCAATAAATATATGGTTGACAATTTATTGAAATGTTACGTTATGGAATTTCTAAATGCTTCGAGAATATTAACACATTCTTGTGAGAGAAGTGTGGCAATATGGGACTTCTTGGTGCTGCAAGCATAAAAAAATGTTCATGACCACTGATCTTGGCTTAGCACTAACCAATCACAAGAGGCATAGCCAAACAATTTTTTGTTAGAAAAGTGAGGTTGATTCCCAATTTTTTTGTTTCAGGCTTGTCCTTTCCTTCTGAAAGTTTACACACAGGACTGTGACGATCCAAAGCTGAAGGTTTTAGGGCTTGAGTCACACCAAGAGAAGATTGAAAAAGTTGTTTGTGATTTTGCTATGGCTAAGGTATACATTTTTCTAATTAAAACCGTTTTTTGTTTTATATTTAATTTAAAGTTAAAAAATTGTAAGAATCTCCTCACTCACTATTTTATTGTAATGTTTTTATCATTTATAACTAAAATTCACGGAGATCAAATCTGAATTGAACTTTTTGTATTTAAAATGTTTAAACGTGCCGGTCAGTTCATATTGTCACTTGTAATGCTTCAAAGAAAAAAAAAGAAAGAAAAGTGGGACACCAATTTATTTAAAATCCAAGCTTAAAATACATGTTTCTCCTTGACAGGGGGAAGCTACCAAAGTTAAGGGAATGAAAGATCTAACCATGTACCAGTACACGAATGACCACAGGGCTATAATAGTCATAGACAACAAGGTAAGACAATGCTTCTAACATTGCAAAATTTATTTCTTGAATATTGAATAAAAAAGTGTGTCAATTTGATAATCAGAAAGATTAAAATTTATTTGGAACTAAATTGAAAGCTCTCAGTTGATGGTAATTTAAGTCCCATTAAAAGAAAAAAAGGAGCCGCCAGTTGTTAAGGACATGTTCATGTTTTTCTAACTAAAGACCTCCTCCCTCCCCCTCCCCCCCATGCTATTTTAAAAAAAACATTCAAAATAGACGAACTATCATATTCGGGGGGGGGGGGGGGGGAGTGGTGGAAAAAAAATAGGTTAATAATATTTTTTTTGGGGGGGGGGGGGGTGAAAATTTTAAAGTTATTTCAATTGATTCACAAATTGTTGATGTTATATTTCCAGATTTTATTCATCTGATGCTCAACCTTTCTTTTAAAAAAAAAATAAATATAAATCTGCAGACTCTATTCATAGGAACTGGATTATAATTACTCATGGAATTTAATGTTGTAAAGTGTAAACCTTCAGGTTAAGTTTTGGGAGCTAACATGATATTTTGTTACTATATCAGTAGGGAATTAGTTTTGCTACTTGACTTTATGAATACACTTTCTTAAAAGTTAGCAGTGTCTCTAAACATAAAACTATTCAGTTTGTAACTTGGGGCCATCCATTTGTCTCAGTGGGGGGATGGGTCACGAATTAGTGATGATGTGCGATACAAGTGTCTAATTTGTGTTTCAATTTTGTGAAGAATGGGGTGGGGTGGGATCGGGTGGGGATGGGATGTGATGGAGGTGGAGTGGGGGTGAGGTGGGGATAAAAAAGGTGGGTCAAATGAGTGTGATGTCATGCATGGATGACCCTTAAGATGACTTGACAATGTTAAAAGTCAATATCAATGTGCAAAATCACTGGGTCATACAATCTAAACCTATGACAGACAATTTCTTAATAAATGAACTCCAGCAAATGAATGCTTATCTGATGAATTTCTTTTAACAAATGCAAATTTATTTTCAGTCCAAGTCTAAGGTGAAAATGTCTCTTGACTGCAGCAAACGTCGTGGTTTAGTCAGCCACACTGGATCACTTGTAGCAACAGTGACAGTACCACCCCAAACAGCTGTGGTAAGTCTATAAAATCTCTTTTAAATAAAAATAATAATATTTAATCATCTTTAGTTGGAGCAAATTCATAAGTTATGGTCAATAGTTAATTTTTTTTCTTTCTATTAATTCATACATTATTATATATTATAATTTTATTTTATTTTTCTGCTAGATCTATCTACGCCCAAAGATTATATATATATTTTTGCTGATGACTGAGGTATCCTGATAAAAAGTAGAAGTATGGTTGATAGAATTTAACCAGTCAACTTGATTTGCTTATGTTGTACTATTTTCCTAGGTGGGTCATCATATTCTGCCCCTTGATGATGGTGGAGAATTCAGTGTTGTCTGTGAAGAAAGCATGCTCAAGTAGTATCCAGTGAGACATTGACTCATTTCACTGATATAGGAATATATGAACTACTATAAAGCTTACTGCCATGATTTATTTTTAGATCATGCCTAATAATGTATTTATATTTATGACTTACATCTTGCTCAAAGATAATTTTTGATGTCACTTTTAAACAAATCCAAGTAAAATAACTTACAAAAATATTCTTAAATCCGTCCATAATAAGAAATTGAAAATATTACCAACCTTGTTTGAGATGAGAATAATAAATCAAAGTTTCTTAACAGGATATTAGCCCACTGTCACTTTTAAGGCATTTGAAATTAATTGATATTTATCATATTCAAATTATAATAAGTTTGAAAAAAAAAATTAATTAAATTTGATGTTTAATGTCATTTACATCTTTTTTTAGTTAGATTTAGTGTAACATCATTTTTGTTTTTATAGAGATTTTTCTCATATGTCACATTTGTAGTTTATTGTGTTGTTGTGAAAGGTTGTATTTTATTAGTTTCTATAAACATTTCCCAAAGTTAAAAAAAAAAAATTGAAAATTGTTCATTAAGAAACTCTACACTCCCCAACTACAGTTTTCTTTTACATGAAAAAATGAAAACATGGACTTAAATTTATTAGATTATGAAGAACTCTTGGGAGCTTCATAACACAGGATTGAATGTTTCTCTGTGTGATTTCTGTTTTATTGTAACATATTTTAGAGTTTTATTTACTGAAATGTTTTAACTATCTGTGATATCTATCATTTTGCTCACATTTTAAAACAGGTTTTAAGCCCAGTATCCACATTCAAAAAGATTTTACAAGTTTTTAATTTGTGTGAAAACCTTTAAAAAAAACAAAACAACAGTAATAATTATACAATATTGAAGAAATTCCTATTTTTTGTATTTGTCAAAATAAAATAAATTGTCATCACCCAACAATCTGTGTTTCAGTTTCATGATTCATTTCACTGTTTTAGTTTCTTGATTTATTTTACCTGATTATTATGAATAGGCCTATTGAATATTTATAGTTAATGACAACACCATTCATTTCACCATAATTGAAGCTCATGTTTCTTTGATATGTAGATCTAAGCCTAAAAAGAGTTTGATGATAACATTTTCCCCAGTCTGAATTTATAAAGGGAGTTCACTCTCAGCTAAATGGAACTATCTCCTGTGATTTTATAGAGTAATTTGCCAGAGCCTAATCTTTTCCTAAATATTGTTCATCCTTCGCATGCCATAACCAAGGCACTATTCTACTTGAGCAGTAGCCTTGACTTGAGATGTAGTTTGTTTAAAGTGAGGAACAGTTGCTCAGTTGAACAGCCTCACTCTCTCGTCCTTACCTGTTTGATCGATTGGCAAGACTTAGTAAAGACGTCAGGAAAGAGACCAGGATGCTGAATATGTTTTTGTGTGTTTCACTGTGCTCTTTATGTGTTCCACATCACAGGAGTTGTCGGAATTTTCATTGTGTCAATGTCATAGAGCCTATGGAATTCCATCTCTGGATTTGATTTCAGAGTTTGCCTTCTCTTAGATGAGTTGCTATTCAAGGTTAACAAGTCCCATCCACACATGGTGCTGGTGTTGTTTTTGCTTGTCTAATCTTTGCTGGGGATTGAACTCCATTCCACAAGGTTGGGATCGACTCAGTTTAGGCAGCTCAGCCACCTTTGCCTAACTGCATCCGGTGTGCAATATGTTTCTTGGTCACCCTTCCCTGGTGTAAACATTTTGTTAAAAATAAATAGGTAGTTTTTCTTGTTTCTTTCGGTATATAGTATATGGCTGATTTTTATGCTAGAGAAATACTTTAGATATCTTGCATTTAAATTGTTCTAATTGTAAAATGTTGTCTTTGTTAAAATATGCAGCCTATTAAATGAAAATAAAATGTACAATGTAATTAAAAAAATACATTTATTTGGATCAATAAAAGAATCTTATTTTATCTTACAATGGAGCACAAGGTTTGCTGCGAAATCACCAATTTAAATATTAGAGACGAATGTTGTCCAGGGAGAAGTTTAGAAAAGTAATTTCCCCCAATTAGTTTTCACTGTGCCAATTGGGGTATAGGCATAGGCAATTTTTCGTATTATTTATTTAACAGATTTTTTTTTTTATTACTTATTTAAAATAGACTAAGTTTTAAGTTAATCCCAGACCAAATTTGTTTTGAATGTAATTTAAAAAAAAAAAAAAATTAAGATCGACTCAGGAACTTCGGGGAGCTTATTTTGTATAGGAATCTTGTTTTTATTTTAAAAGTTTCTTACGTGGTTGAACATTTATAATAATTGATTAAAATTTATTTTATTTCTCCATAAAAATGGCCAATGGATTTCAGCAAAATAAAGAGGCAAGACCTTTGGACGGGAGAGAATTTAGAAACTAAAATAATATTAAAACGGAGTGGCTATAGGTACCCGGGTACCTATATCAGCGATTGGCTATTCGGACCCGGCTGGTCACGTGAGGGCTTTATAATATTCGGTTGGTCACGTGACGGTTATGACGGATACTTCATGTTGGTTTGCCATCTTAGAGCCATTACTATCAATCGATAAATGTGCTATATTTTGAAGACTTTTATGAACCGGTAGCATTGAAGAAACACGAAGAACAATGTGACGTACAGCTAAAAGCAAGTAAGAATACATTTATGTTTATAATTTTATTGTATTTTTAAATTCTATTTTAAATATAGTTCTATAGGTAATCTACCACTTGAGCGTCGGCCAAGAAAAAATCCAGCACCCACGTCTTTTCAATTTTGCTCTAATAAGCCACATTCTTTGTGCACTGTAAAATAGCACTTTTTAAACAATCTAATCGATTTTTGAAACCTTATACTTATACAACTTGGTACTTTGACACAAAATTTAAATATTGTCCGATCGCCTTGAATGATACATCATTTTAAAGGGCTAGCTATAAGCTTTACAACAACACCAATTTCATCTTTCTATCTTTTATAGAAGTGGAGTTATGATTTTTTTTGGTGATTTTTTAAAAACCCCTTCTTTATCTTAGTATTTAACTGAAAAAACGTGTGACCCACTTTCCAAATTTCTGCCTTATTTTGCCCAAAACTTTTGGATTTTAAAAGATAATGCTACCAAATTTTCAGGAGACATTCCCAATGCAATATACAACCCAATAAACAACAAAAGTTTTATATAACATCAAGACTTTTATTTTTTTATATATTTATTTGTGGGTATGTTCAGAAAAAAGTGAACAGAAAAATTGGGAAAATCATTATTTATACAGGAAAAAACGAAAAAATAACATCTTTATTGAATTTTAAATAATTTTATTATGCTTGTTTTACATTTTAAATCATTATATTTATAAAAAGGTAAGTAGTCTTTTTTATATATAAAATTGAACGCATGTAATTATAAATAAAAATTACTCTAATAAAATCATCTATGATGATGAGACTAATTTATTAAAAAATGTTGTTTGATATATTAAATAATTGTCTATGTACTGCTTTTCAATGTTCTACTAAAAATATAATTACAACAATGATGTTGTTTGATTCTTGTTTATTAATTTGATGTATTTTAATAAAACTGTTATATATAGGCTTAACTAAAAAATATATTATTATTAGTAAGTGTGGTTGTTGATTGTCGTAGTACTAGTAATAGAATTAGATTAAGAAAAAATTAAGCTTAGGCCTAAATATAGACTATTATAGGATTATAATAAATAACAGTTGTTTAAAGTTGTTTATAATTATAACTGATATTGATATGTAGGCCTAATTTTAGTAATATTGTCTGAAATAATTAATAAGAGAAAAACGATTATCATTATTGACATTACTATTGTAAAACTATTTAATATTGATTCAACAATTATGAAGAACGATAAACTGTGTACCGGTACCGTACACAATTTTTAACGTAATAAATAAAACTTAAAACCAACCATTGGTTACTACATAATTAAACTTTTATGTTATTTGGTTATAATATTTTCTTAAAATTATTCATTTTAAACGTCTTATCATTATTTAGACGTTTAAGGATTTAACATAACGAATCACAGTGATAGTAGCCATTTCCGGCTTCTTGATCAAAATAAAAAAAAATGACAATTTCATACCCCCACTCCTTCGTGGGATGCATAACTTTTTATAAACAGATCAACGATAATAACTCAAACAATGAAAAAACTCTTACAATGAATGTAGATTGGGTGGAACTAAACCTTATTTTGGTGGCTTTACTAGTAAAAAAGTATTTATGCGATTTATAAACTAACCGAGTCATTATAATAATACTGTCCGTGATACACAAAAAATCTTGTAGCATAAATCAATATATCACCGGAACACAAAAACTGATACGTCACTGATGAGGAAAGCATTATTTAATAAACAAAGGTGACGTATTATTCAATTTTGCAAAGATACCGTGTAGCCGTACGCCATATTGTAGAACACGTTTTTTCGACATTTTAGGACATGTCGCAGAACGGTGCGTGGACAAGTATTGTTGACAAGAAGACATACATCGTTAACTTCACTTGACTCTATCAAAACAAATATTTAATTGATACAGCATAGACACTGCACAAAAGCAACTGCTACTTTAATAAGAGCAGAGTACCAAGTAGATTGGAGAACTAGTGAAAAATACCAACTTAATTATAAATGGCTTGCATTAAGTCCATTAATTTTTTAACACTTCAGGTTGCAGCAGGACACAGTCTGGGAGCCTCTGTCCTAGTCAATTACATGCCATAATAAACACATATCTTTACATTTTCTCTTAACACCTAGCATCATCCTAATCCCCCTTCCAATAATAAATATTAGTATCTTGATCCTTTGAATGCACTTTATATAAAGATAAATCCCGCAAGTGCATGTAAAAAATATCAAAAGACTGTATTGGAATGGTTAGTTTCACTGATTAGGTTAGGGTAAAGTCTTGCACATTCCTAATTTAGTTAAAATTAGATAAAAATTCCTAAAAAATCTAAATTTCCTTCTGACATATTGAGTGCATTTTTGCTGTAAAAGAAATGATTGAAAAATTCAAAAGAGCTATTTAGATGGATTGCTTCTTATATTTAGATTCATCAGTCGCTATAGCATATATTTTTTTGGTTAAAATCATAGTAGTAATAATCAAGAGCTACATCTTGCAGGTTAGAATTATATTACCATTGATCTATGACAAAAAAATCTTATTTACATTTTTAAAGATTCTCTACTGTAATGCAGTTAATGCAGTTGTAGTTAAAATCTTGCACTGAGCTTGACATGACCATTTTGAAGGTTTTCTTTTGTTCATTTAACACACCTCCCTGATTCCAATAGTGTTTGGACTTTAACTATTTAATATATTAAATAAACAAAGCTATTCAACTTTCCCTTAGAAAACCAGGAATTTTTTGTCGAAACACCCATGCAAACATGGCTGGTGTAAAAGCAATGATTACACCAAGTGTGTGATTAATTTTTTGGGTACTTTTTATGATGGTAACTTTCAGGTTAAAATTTGTTCATAGGATATTGTCTTCATATTAATGCAAGCTTGCGCTCTAATATAATAAAGTTTCTGTCTTCTACTAATTAATGTATTATTTTACTTCCAGGTTAAAGTTGTTGTTTTCACAGGGATCACTTGAAGACCCCCATCACTGCCAGAATTCACAGCTGCTCTTATGATGAATGTGCAGGATGAATCATGACATGCCAGGACAATGACTGGTCAACATTTTACTTCAGGTAAATCCAGTCCTTTTTATTCTATTTATTTTTCATTACCTATGCCACTAATTTAAAAAAATATATTTTTGGTTTTATTTTTTCACATTTTAACTTGATGTTTGATTTATCACACTGGGTAATAATCTTGAGGTAACTTGCCATTATT